TCCACCGCTTCACTGCTGCCTCGCGCGACTGCTGCGCTTTCCTTCACCTTGGACTCTGGCGCCTCCCGGTGTTTCTTCCGCGACTCCACGACGCTGACGCCGCTGCCTGTTCCCGCTGCAGTTACTCTTGCTGACCCCTCCGGTGGTCCCGTCGTTGCCCGCAGTTCCACCTCCCTTCCCTGTCCGGCGGTTCCTTCGGGCACTCTCACAGGTCTGCATATCCCCTCGTTCTCCAGGAACCTAGTTGGTGTCGGCTGCCTCCAGGACCTTGGCGTCACCACTACGTTCCCTGGTCACGAGCGGTATGCTGTCTGTACCGAGGCCGCCACTGGTGCCCCCCTTACCACTTTCCCCCGGGACCCGGTGTCCGGCCTGTTCACACTTGACACCGCGCCGTCCCCGGCTGGGTCTTCCCCCCCGGTAGTTGCGTCCACCCAGGTTGCAGCCGCGTGCTCCTGTCGGTCCCTCACTCACCCGACTCTCCTTTGGCACCACCGCCTTGGTCACCCTGCACTCCCACGTCTGCGTCACATGTCCCAGCACGGTCTCGTCCTTGGTCTCCCCGGTTCGTTCCCCGAGTTTCCCTCCTCCCCCGCCCCACCGTGCACGCCTTGTGTCGAGGGCCGGCTCCGCCGTGCCCCTCACTCCTCCTCTTTTCCCCCTACCACCGCACCACTGCAGACTCTGCACATGGACGTCTGGGGCCCAGCCCCGGTCCATGGGCCGCGTCGCGAGCGCTTCTTCCTAGTGCTTGTCGACGACTTCACGCGCTACACCACCGTCTTCCCCCTGGAGCGGAAGGCCGACGTGCCTGACGTTCTCATCCCATGGCTTGTCTCTGCTCGTGTCCACCGCGGTCTCCCTGCCTTGCGCCTTCACTCCGACCGGGGTGGCGAGTTTGCCTCAGGTGTCCTTGGTCGCTTCTGTCGTGCGGAGGGCATCACCCAGACGTTTACCCTGCCGGACTCCCCGCAGCAGAATGGGGTCGCTGAGCGACGCATCGGTTTGGTCATGGAGGTGGCTCGCACCTCCATGATCCACGCCGGTGCACCCCATTTTCTGTGGCCGTTCGCCGTGCGCTACGCCGCTCACCAGCTTAACCTGTGGCCGCACCCCCAGCGGCCGCAGGTTTCGCCGACCCTTCTGTGGACCGGGTCCCCTGGTGACGCGTCTGCGTTCCGCGTCTGGGGCTGCCTTGCTCACGTTCGTGCCTCTGGCACGGACAAGCTCACTGCCCGCACCCTCCCCTGCGTCTTCCTCGGTTTCCCCCTTGACGCGTCCGACTGGCACTTCTACCACCCGCCGTCTCACCGCTTCTTTCACTCTCGCGACGTCACCTTTGACGAGTCCGTCTCCTTCTACCGCCGCTTTCCCCACCGTGGTCCCCCGGTTACTCCCCCCCTTTTCCTGGTTCCTCCCTCCCTGGTGGTCCCTGCCCCTCCCCCCCCCCCGCCCCCCCGTCCGGCCCCCTCTGGTGTGTCTCACGTCACCCCCCTCCCGTCGGTCGTCCCGGTCGACGAGTCTTCTGACTCTGGTAGTCCTCCGGCGCAGTCCTCGCCGTCTGTCCCTCCCCCGGTGTCTCCTCCTCCACCGCCTCCGCAGCCGCCGTCGCCGCAGCTGCTGCAGCCGTCGTCTCCACCGCCGCCGCCGTTGCAGCCGTCGTCTCCGCCGCCGCCGCCGTCGCAGCCGTCGCTGCAGCCGCCGCCGCCGCCGCCGCTGTCGTCGCTGCCGCCGTTTGTGGACTCTGGGGGTGTCCCTTCTGGGGGTGCCGGTGTGGAGGGTTCGGGAGGTAGCCGTCGCGCAGCTTGTGGCCCTGGTGTTGGTGTTGTGTCGCCGCAGCAGCAGTCCCTGCCTGTGTCCGCCCTCCGTCTGCTCGGCCTTCCGTCTCCTGACCCTGCGCCTGTTCCTCTCCTGCCGTCTCCCCCTCTTCCCGTCTACGGCCCCGTGTTCCCTCTGCCAGACTCGTCCCCGGCTCGTCTTCCCCCTCGTTCCCCTCCTGTGTCCCCTCTTCTGTCTCCTGACCCGACGCCGCCCTCACACGTCTGGTCTCGCCGCCCCTCTCGTGCTCGTCCTGTCTCCCCTGTCCCGCGCTCTCACCCTATGTTGCTCCGTTCCCACGCGTCTCGACCTCCCCTCCTCCCGTCTCCTCCTCCGTCTTCTCTTGTCGTTGCGTCTCCTCCTCTGTCCGACTCCTTTCGTGCCGCTCGTCCTCTTGTTCCTCGGGTCCTTGCCTCTCTCGTTACCGACCCGTCTGTTCCCGTGTCGAGTCTTGACGCCCTCGTCGCTGCGGTCGCTGACTTCGCCTCTACCCGCCGCCTTCACTACGCAACCGCTCTGGTATCTCACCCTGCCTGTCCTCCGTCTGTCGGGGGTGCTCCTGCCCTCGGCAGTGACGTCCTGGAGGACCGCCAGTTTGAGCTTGCTTTCCTGTCCGAGGCTGCTCCCCATCTCTGTTCCATGCTGCTAGTCCCTGAGGGTGACCCAGACGCTTTCGACATCCCGACCCCTCGTACTTACGCTGAGGCGGTTTCGGGACCCTGGGCCTCTCAGTGGATAGCTGCCATGGAGCAGGAGATGGCATCTTGGAGATCCACCGGCACCTTCGTCGACGCAGTTCCCCCACCTGGGGTGAACGTGGTCGATGGCCGTTGGCTCTTCAAGGTGAAGCGCCCTCCTGGAGAGCCGCCTGTGTTCAAGGCGCGCTACGTGGCTAGAGGCTTCAGTCAGCGCGAGGGGGTGGACTTCTTCCAGACTTTCGCTCCTACCCCGAAGATGACTACTCTTCGGGTGCTGCTACACGTAGCGGCTCAGCGTGACTACGAGCTTCACTCCCTCGACTTCTCCACTGCCTTTCTTCAGGGCAGCCTTCACGAGCAGGTCTACCTGCGTCGCCCTCAGGGCTTTACTGGCACCTTCCCCCCTGGGACCCAGTGGCTTCTGCGGCGGCCAGTCTACGGCTCGCGCCAGGCGCCTCGTGAGTGGCACGACACTTTGCGTGCTACCCTTGCTGACCTGCAGTTCTTTCCGTCCTCTGCAGACCCCTCGCTCTTCGTTCGTGCTGGCTCGACTCCGTTCTACATCCTCGTCTACGTAGACGACCTGGTCTTTGCCACTGCTGACAGGGACGCACTGGCCTCCGTGAAGGCAGAGCTGCTGAAGAGACACACCTGCACTGACCTTGGAGAGCTGCGCCGTTACCTTGGCTTGCAGATCTCCAGGGACAGAGCCGCGCGCACCATCACCCTGACTCAGTCACACTTGGTGCGCCAGGTCCTTCAGAGGTTCGGCCTTCAGTTCTCCTCCGCACAGCCCACCCCTCTTCCTCTGGACCACAGACTCTCCGCTCCAGTTCCTGAGGAGTCGGTAGATCCCAGTGGTCCTTACGCTGAGCTAGTGGGTTGCCTCATGTACCTGATGACTTGCACTCGCCCAGATCTCGCATACCCTCTCAGCATCCTGGCTCGTTTCGTGGCCACAGGCAGGCACCGACCTCAGCACTGGTCTGCCGCTAAGAGGGTTTTGCGTTATCTTGCAAGTACATCGGGCATGGGGTTAGTGCTAGGCGGACGCAGGCCAGTGGTCCTTACTGGACACACAGACGCTTCTTGGGCAGACGACGCCGAGACGCTCAGGTCTTCCCAGGGCTACTGCTTTAGCCTTGGTTCAGGTGCTGTCTCGTGGAGAGCTACCCGCTCTTCGTCTGTTGCCCAGTCCAGCTGTGAGGCCGAGATCTACGCCGGTGCCATGGCGGCACAGGAGCTCCGCTGGCTGACCTTCTTGCTCACTGACTTAGGTGAGCGGCCTAGCTCTGCCCCGGTCCTGTACGCTGACAACAGGGCCATGATCCTCCTGTGTCAGGAGCCTCGACTCGAGGGCAGAGCGAAGCACATCCAGCTGCGGTACTTCCTCCTGCGTGAGCTACAGCAGCGTCGCCAGGCTCGCGTAGTACACTTAGCCTCCGGTGCCAACACAGCTGATATCTTTACGAAGGCGCTTGCGCCTAAAGATCATCAGCGGCACTGTGTGCAGCTTGGTCTGGTTCCTGTAGTCTCTCACTTACTCGGGCCTTGACTCTGTACTGTCCTATATATCTGTGTGTACACTCAGACTGGACTTGTGTCCTCTTACAGTGGTTGGACTAGTAGTGCCGCCCTGTACTAGTTCTTGCCTTGCCTGTACTCCTTCTGACTGGTCTTTTAGACCCTTGTCTCAGAGGCTGGACTAGTAGTGCCACCCTGAGCTGCTTGTCTAGAACATTCCCCTATGCAGTCCAGGGGGTGTGTCAAACATGTTTAGTTATCATGCTTGTATAGACTGTATAGGGTCATCTTCTAGAGAGTACAACAGTTAGGTATATGTTTGTGTACTCTCTCTCTCTAATCATCAATTTCACTGTTTGTTATCAACTGCCTCAAATTCCGCTGCACTACTCAAGTCTTATTCTACAACTGGGACTGAGTCTCTGGAAAGATCCTAAGGGTTTTTCTCAGCCCAAGAGTAGTGAAGTCTGTGATAGGTAGGTTGATGTAGCTGGATTCGCCTCTTCAAAATTCGAATGAAGGTACCTTGTCCATTTGCTACGGTATGTGATTTTGAGAATAGTGTTACAGATATTGTGTTGAAACACGGGTGGCGTGGCAAGATACTCAAATTCCATATTTCAAAAAGGGAGGAGAGTTATTTGTGAGAGAGGTTATGGGCAACGTAAGAAAAAGAATTAGGGGGTTTTGCGTTGTAGCAATTTCTGTACACATCACGTCAGTCTTACGCCACCTGCCTCGTGATAGCCGATCAACTTTCGAAGAAAATCGGACGATTCGGATACTCCCTCTCAACGGAGCGTCAATGCTGACGCTACGATAGCCGCGAAAGCTTTCGCGGGGTCCCTCCCTGAATCGCTCGCAACCTTCCCACCCATCCCAACCCATTATTGCTCTCCTCCCCATAGCTGCCTGGCTAAAAGTGGCCTAGAATTCAGCCAGCGTGTGATTCACCATTCTAGGCAGAAATACCGCCCCAGCAGCACAGGTAACTTACCTCTTTTCCCTGTTGGCGGGGTTTGATCAGTCTGCTGTTGCAGCACGCACCGTCCAACGAGCTGGCTGCTCTACGGTTTTCCGAAATCCGGGATGTGTTTTTTTGACCGGCTCAGCTGAAGTAGTTTGACTAGAGATGTGACCCCCCCTTCCTGTTTCAACCGCGCGCTTTCCAGATTTCAAGTCAACCTGAATCTTAGATTTCAATACTACACCCTAGGTTTTGTTACCATTGTTAGTTGAAGCTACTGATATCGTTCCGCGCTGACCGACGCAGCTAGCCATTGTACGCATCGTCCAAGTTTACTCCGTTTTATGGGCTTCCTTTAATGAAGCGTGGATTTTCAGCGATGGCGGATTCCGGTGCCGGTGGTAGCTATCAGTTTGGTCGGCAACCGCAGCAGTGGCAGCAGCAGCAGCAGCAGCAGAACCACCAGCAGCAGCAGCAGCAGCAGCAGCAGCAGCCGACACAGCAATACCAGCGTCCATATCAGTATCACCAGCAACAGCCGCCGCATGTACAGCAACCCCTGTTCCCACAATCCGGCGGGGGACAGCGCTTACAGGCGAACAACTTCGCGAGCTCCCAGGCGAACATTCAGGCGAACAGGCCTGGTAACATGCCCCAATACGTGCCTCCAAATCTGCAGGGGAACATTTTGCCAGGCAGTCAATTTCAACGTCCAAGGGATATGCAGTTTCCTCTCGCCCAGTTTCCAGGGCCAGGGAATGGGCAGATGCCTGAGAATCATTTTCAAAGCCCATATCCGCAAAATGGTCAGATAGGGAGCATACCTTACGCAACCACCAGTACTTCTCGTGCTGCTACCGCTTCTGCTGCCACTGCTGCAGCTGCTCCTACCACCACTACTGCTGCTGCTGCTGCTGCTGGTGCTGCTGCTGCTGTGTTTGTTCCCTCTGCTCCGCCAGCTTCTGAAGTTACTGCTTATACCGGTAATACTGTGCATCCCGGCGGTGTAGCTGGCGCACCCGCCACTAATCCCCATGTTTTCAACTCGGGCGAGCGCACCAACGGCCAGGATCCCCTGGCAGCTGCTGGCGACGGCCAGGATCTCGGGGATGGTACACAGGTCGCAGCAGGGTTAGAGGGAGGCGGCAGAGGCAGGGGGAGAAGGCGGAGCACAGGGGGAGGCAACAGGGGCAGAGGACGAGGAAGAGTACGAGCAGGAGAGGGGACGGCTAGAGGAAGGGGGGGAAATATGCAGGGCGGGGGGGCGGTAGTGTCTAGGCCGGTTGGGAGGGCGGATAATTTCGCTTTTACCCTGACGGAGCAAGAGAGAGAGGCTGCTGCGAGGGAGGGTGCGAGGGCGAGGGGGTGGGGGAGGTTCCCGGGCATGGAGAGCGAGCAGGAGAAGGCGCTGGGAGGGACCAAGCCCGAGCTGCGATACCTGCTGGATATGATCGTTGGCAGGTGGGTGTGGGTGAGTGGGGGAGGGGACTCAAGGGCGTATTTGTTGGGACTGGGGATTCAATGGGGCATGAGGTTTGATGCTGGAGATGGGGTATGGACGTTTTGCCCTGAGGTTTGCCGTACAGTGAAGGACGGGCGCGCGTTTTGTACGGTGATGGGATTTGGACGGCGTTCAATGGAGTAACGCGGGCACGGCGGTCTGGCATAAGATAACAGAGTGGCATCAGTATTACCGTGCTTGTCAGCGTCAATAGAATGCCTGTTTGATTATTGCACTCAAAGGGAGCACTTTGCTCTCTTCAGTTCCGCACTGCTGCCTCCCTCTCGCAGTGATATGGTGAGGGCTATGCCAGTGGCATGGGTGGGTGAGCGCTACATCGCCAGCTTGCCTCTGGTGCATGCTGAAGCATACCTGCGCCCCTGCCTTGCTGCTTCCCAGGCCTTGTTGTTCTCTTATCCTCCACCCTTCTTGGATGCACGCAGCGAGATGCTGAACGCCATGGCAGCAGCATGGGTGGGTTCGCTCCATCGATGGCTTGCAGCTGGTGGGCATGGAGGCCTACCTGCGCCCCCTGCCCTTGCTGCTTCCCATGCCTGCTTGTTCTATTACTTTCCACCATTGCGTGCTCGCAGCGAGATGGGGAACGCCATGCCCGCCACATGGGTGAGGAACATCGATAGCTTGCCCCTGGTGGACGCGGAGGCATACCTGGGCTCCCTCCCTGCCCTCACTGCTTCCTGTGCCTTCTTGGTCTGTCTTGTTCTCTTTCCCTCCACCCTTCTTGCATACTCTCAGCGAGATTGTGAACGCCATGCCAGCCACATGGGTGAGGTACATCGATAGCTTGCCCCTGGTGGACGCGGAGGCATACCTGCGCTCCCTGCCCTCGCCACTCCCGCACCCTCCAGCTCCTGTCAGTCCACATCCATGGCCCTGCCCTTGCCCGTGCCCCTGCCCCTGCCCATGCCCATGCCTATGCCCATGCCCATGCCCATGCCCATTCATGCCCATTCACACAGCTTGAAAACACTGTGAGCTCCCCAAATCTGTACTGCTGCTCCCTCAATTAGCTTTGTTTTATTGTGCGTCATTTGCATGGGCGATCATGGCAAGTGCAGTTTTAAGTACAGAAATTCGTGCATGAATGCATGCTCCCTTAGCCTTATGCTCTCACTGCGGCAGTGCCTGTGCCTGAGCTGCTTGTTTGCGAAGATTAGAGGGGGAGGAGAAGTTGTGTATTGATGCACCAACAGACACGGCTTGTGTGTACATGCTCTCATGCACGCGCATGATCCCATGCATGTTCATTCTCTCACGTGGCATGCATTCTCCCATGCATGTGCATTCCCTCCTGTGGCGTGCATGCTCCCATGCATGCGCATTCCCTCGTGTGGCGTGCATTCTCCCATGCATGTGCATTCCCTCCTGTGGCGTGCATGCTCCCATGCATGCGTATTCCCTCGTGTGGCGTGCATTCTCCCATGCATGTGCATTCCCTCCTGTGGCGTGCATGCTCCCATGCATGCGTATTCCCTCGTGTGGCGTGCATTCTCCCATGCATGTGCATGGGGCGATTGCAGCAAGGAGTAGCAGCAGCACTCGCCGATTCCAATCGCCGGGCCTTCCTAGAAGTGCACATCCATCCACGCCATGGGATACAGTACGTGGTGAGTGCTGCGTCGAGGCTCGGAACAACAGCATCTGGTAAGCCTTGAGGTATGCATTTGCACCGTACGATTTTGTTTGAAACCTGAAGCACATCCATCCACGCCATGGGACACAGTATGTGGTGAGTGCTGCGTCGAGGCAGCAGCATGTGGTGAGTGCTGGGGTGAGGTAGCCGCAGGTAGTAAGTCTTGGGTTATTATACATTCACAAGGAGCGACCCCGCTCAGTGAAACAACAAAGCCCATCCATCCACGCCATGGGATGCAGTATATGGTGGTGAGTGCTGGGTTGAAGCACCAGCTTTCTCAAGTCCCTGCCACTTTCTGCTTGTCTTTTAATTTTGAAGGTTGCTGGGCTGCTCTTCCTGCTGCCACTGCACCCCCACAAGGGCAAGGCCCAACCCTGTAAGGTTATCTCCCCCCCTCTTCACCCTCCATTCAAAAAATCATTCGTCCCTGTGACAGGGCGTGGCACAGGACCCAGGGGGGTCGGCGGGGCACCACGTGCTGACACATGCGCGCATAATGAAGGTCCTCTGCTGCGCTGCACCCCCACAAGGGCAACGCCACAACTCCGTGCTTTTTTATCCCGTGCCCCTACGTGCCTCTGACAGGGCGTGGCACAGGACCCGGGGGGTTCAGCGGGGCACCGAGTGCTGACCCATGCGCGCATCATGAAGGTCCTCTTCCTGCTGCCGCTGCAACCCCACAAGGGCAAGGCCAAGCGCTGGTGCCAGCGGGTGTGCCAGAAGGGCATCGTGGTGGGGCTCAGGCGATTCAAGTACTTTGGTGGGTGGGCCGGGTGGGTGGGTTGCTGGGTGGGTGGGAGGGTGGGGGGCTGAGTTACTCTATATTCTAGGCACTAGAAAAGAAGGGCATCGTGGTGGGGCTCAGGCGATTCAAGTACTTTGGTGGGTGGGCCGGGTGGATAGCTGGGTTGCTGGGTGGGAGGGTGGGGAGTTGGGTTGGGGTCAAGTACTCTATATTTAAGGTGCCTCAGAACGAATCACGAATTTTTTGTGGAGTTCAGGTCAGCTGGTTGGTTGGCTGAGGCTATCTGGTGGATTGGGGATGGGAGGATGGCTGGGTTGATTTGGATGCTCAATTTTAGGGCTCAGAAAAGGAATGGTAGTTGCAGATCTTCTCTTCCCTGATAACTTTTTTCTCGTGTAGTCAGTGCTTCTGAGGCGACCCAAAGGTAGCTGCAGATCGTCTGTGATGACATATGCTCGTATAATCACCACCCCAAACCCCCCACCCCCCTCTCCCCTCCCCCCCCTCTCCTGTCCCCTCACCCCCCCCCCCTCGTACATCCTCTTCTCCGTTTCTTCTCCTCTTACCGTTCTTCCCTCTCCCCTTTCCTTGCTTTCCTTTGCCCTGTTTCCCCTCTCCTCTCCCTCTTCTTCGCGTGCCCGTTTCCATCTCAACTCCCCCCGTCCACATCCCTCCATTTCCCCCACTCTCTTCCCCCTGTCCTCCGTACCCCCGTACCCAACTGTCTTTGAGTCCCTCCTCATACCTTCTGCAACACCACACAAGACGGACCGAGCGTCAATGACAACGCACCTCCATCCCGGGGCGTTCTTCCTGGCCCTTGCTTCCGCGGCCCGTGGGGCCTTCAACCGTCCCATGTGTCAACCCCCATCCCCCACTCCCCCAACCCCACCCCTTCGCACGCATCCTCCTTACCCCTCTAATCGTCCCCTCAACAGCACACAATGTGGACCAAGCGCCCAAGACAAAGCACCTCCATCCCAAGGCGTTCTTCCTGGCGCTTGACTCAGCAGCCCCTTGGGACCTTGCATTTCCCAACCCCGCCCTACCCACGCGTCCCCCGCCCACATCCCCCTTTTTCCCCCCTAATTTTCCGTCAACAGCGCACAAGACAGATCGATCGCCCAAGACAACGCACCTCCATCCCAAGGCGTTCTTCCTGGCGCTTGACTCAGCAGCCTCTTGGGACCTTCAGCAGCCAGACACGTTTCGTCCGTACGGCTCTGCATGGGATGCGCGGGCAGTCTTTGGAAACTTTGACAGCTGCCCGAATGTGCCGAAACTGGCGGCCCGGTGAGGGGTGTGAAGTGGTGTGATGTCATTTGATGGTGCCTTTGGGAGCTGTGGAGAGAGGGGGAGAGGGGGGGTGGGGGGGAGGGGGGTATTTGGACAAGGGAGTGTGTGGAGATCGAGGAGGGGGGATGGGGAAAGGGAGTTGGAGATTGCGTAGTAAGAGGCACGGAGAGGGAAAGCGGGGGAGAGAGTTGCTGAAACTTGCCATTCCATAACCCTTCCTGCAAGTGGATTCTTCTGGCCATCAAAACATGTTCGCTGTTGGGTCGACTCATATGGAAGTGGATTCCTGCCCGTGCGCAGCACAGGTTGTCGTAAGATAAGTACTAGTGACAACAATCTACAGGACCTTGTTTTTTCTTTCCTTCTTTCTTTCCAAGCACAACCCTTTCGCTAACTCTCCCGCTTGTCTCGCCCGCTGTCTAACTTTGCCGTTTGAACCTTATGGTTTCCCCCACATCATTGTATCCATCACACCTTCCCCCACATCATTGTATCCATCACACCTTCCCCCACATCATTGTATCCATCACACCATCCCCCACATCATTGTATCCTTCCCCGTGCTTTCAGATCAGGGTGCCTGAATCGACTATCTGAAACAAGCGTCACCCCCTCTCTCCCCTCTCCCCTCTCTCTCCCCTCTCTCCCCTCTCTCCCCTCTCTCCCCTCTCCCCTCTCTCTCCTCTCTCTCCCCTCTCTCCCCTCTCTCCCCGCTCCCCTCTCTCCCCGCTCCCCTCTCTCCCCTCTCCCCTCTCTCGCGGGGTAGGGCCCATCTTCTCCCGCAGTTAATTGTTTCCGCACCTTCTTTGTGGTTTGAAACGCCCGAAATTACTCTCTAGCCCTCTCCCCCCTCTCCCTCCCTTCTCCCCCTCTCGTCCCCCCCCTCTCCCCCCCTCCTCGCCCCCCCCTCTCCCCACCGTCACAGCATAGGGCTCATCTTCTCCCGCACCTACCCCATGCTTGATGCGTCCACCATCTCCCCGGACATGCTCCAAATAGCTGATGACGAAACATGTGAGGTGTGTATGGCGTTGCATGTGAGATGTGTATGGCGTTGGATGTGAGATGTGTATGGCGTTGCATGTGAGGTGTGTATGGCGTTGCATGTGAGGTGTGTATGGCGTTGCATGTGAGGTGTGTGTGGCGTTGCATGTGAGGTGTGTGTGGCGTTGCATGTGAGGTGTGTATGGCGTTGCATGTGAGGTGTGTATGGCGTTGCATGTGAGGTGTGTATGGCGTTGCATGTGAGGTGTGTGTGGCGTTGCATGTGAGGTGTGTGTGGCGTTGCATGTGAGGTGTGTGTGGCGTTGCATGTGAGGTGTGTGTGGCGTTGCATGTGAGGTGTGTGTGGCGTTGCATGTGAGGTGTGTGTGGCGTTGCATGTGAGGTGTGTATGGCGTTGCATGTGAGGTGTGTGTGGCGTTGGATGTGAGGTGTGTATGGCGTTGCATGTGAGGTGTGTATGGCGTTGCATGTGAGGTGTGTATGGCGTTGCATGTGAGGTGTGTATGGCGTTGCATGTGAGGTGTGTATGGCGTTGCATGTGAGGTGTGTATGGCGTTGCATGTGAGGTGTGTGTGGCGTTGCATGTGAGGTGTGTGTGGCGTTGCATGTGAGGTGTGTGTGGCGTTGCATGTGAGGTGTGTGTGGCGTTGCATGTGAGGTGTGTGTGGCGTTGCATGTGAGGTGTGTATGGCGTGGCATGTGAGGTGTGTATGGCGTGGCATGTGAGGTGTGTGTGGCGTGGCATGTGAGGTGTGTGTGGCGTGGCATGTGAGGTCTGTGTGGCGTGGCATGTGAGGTGTGTGTGGCGTGGCATGTGAGGTGTGTGTGGCGTTGCATGTGAGGTGTATGTGGCGTTGCATGTGAGGTGTGTATGGCGTGGCATGTGAGGTGTGTATGGCGTGGCATGTGAGGTCTGTGTGGCGTGGCATGTGAGGTCTGTGTGGCGTGGCATGTGAGGTGTGTGTGGCGTTGCATGTGAGGTGTGTGTGGCGTTGCATGTGAGGTGTGTATGGCGTGGCATGTGAGGTGTGTATGGCGTGGCATGTGAGGTGTGTGTGGCGTGGCATGTGAGGTGTGTGTGGCGTGGCATGTGAGGTGTGTGTGGCGTGGCATGTGAGGTGTGTGTGGCGTGGCATGTGAGGTGTGTGTGGCGTGGCATGTGAGGTGTGTATGGCGTGGCATGTGAGGTGTGTGTGGCGTGGCATGTGAGGTGTGTGTGGCGTGGCATGTGAGGTGTGTGTGGCGTGGCATGTGAGGTGTGTGTGGCGTGGCATGTGAGGTGTGTGTGTGGCGTTGCATGTGAGGTGTGTGTGGCGTGCATGTGAGGTGTGTATGGCGTGGCATGTGAGGTGTGTGTGGCGTGGCATGTGAGGTGTGTGTGGCGTGGCATGTGAGGTGTGTGTGGCGTGGCATGTGAGGTGTGTGTGGCGTGGCATGTGAGGTGTGTGTGGCGTGGCATGTGAGGTGTGTGTGGCGTGGCATGTGAGGTGTGTGTGGCGTGGCATGTGAGGTGTGTGTGGCGTGGCATGTGAGGTGTGTGTGGCGTGGCATGTGAGGTGTGTGTGGCGTGGCATGTGAGGTGTGTGTGGCGTGGCATGTGAGGTGTGTGTGGCGTGGCATGTGAGGTGGTGTGTGGGGGTGGGTGGCATGTGAGGTGTGTGTGGCGTGGCATGTGAGGTGTGTGTGGCGTGGCATGTGAGGTGTGTGTGGCGTGGCATGTGAGGTGTGTGTGGCGTGGCATGTGAGGTGTGTGTGGCGTGGCATGTGAGGTGTGTGTGGCGTGGCATGTGAGGTGTGTGTGGCGTGGCATGTGAGGTGTGTGTGGCGTGGCATGTGAGGTGTGTGTGGCGTGGCATGTGAGGTGTGTGTGGCGTGGCATGTGAGGTGTGTGTGGCGTGGCATGTGAGGTGTGTGTGGCGTGGCATGTGAGGTGTGTGTGGCGTGGCATGTGAGGTGTGTGTGGCGTGGCATGTGAGGTGTGTGTGGCGTGGCATGTGAGGTGTGTGTGGCGTGGCATGTGAGGTGTGTGTGGCGTGGCATGTGAGGTGTGTGTGGCGTGGCATGTGAGGTGTGTGTGGCGTGGCATGTGAGGTGTGTGTGGCGTGGCATGTGAGGTGTGTGTGGCGTGGCATGTGAGGTGTGTGTGGGTGTGTGTGGCGTGGCATGTGAGGTGTGTGTGGCGTGGCATGTGAGGTGTGTGTGGCGTGGCATGTGAGGTGTGTGTGGCGTGGCATGTGAGGTGTGTGTGGCGTGGCATGTGAGGTGTGTGTGGCGTGGCATGTGAGGTGTGTGTGGCGTGGCATGTGAGGTGTGTGTGGCGTGGCATGTGAGGTGTGTGTGGCGTGGCATGTGAGGTGTGTGTGGCGTGGCATGTGAGGTGTGTGTGGCGTGGCATGTGAGGTGTGTGTGGCGTGGCATGTGAGGTGTGTGTGGCGTGGCATGTGAGGTGTGTGTGGCGTGGCATGTGAGGTGTGGGTGGTGGGGTGTGGGGGCATGTGAGGGGTGGGGTGTGGGGTGTGGGCGTGGCATGTGAGGTGTGTGTGGCGTGGCATGTGAGGTGGTGTGTGGGCGTGGCATGTGAGGTGTGTGTGGCGTTGCATGTGAGGTGTGTGTGGCGTGGCATGTGAGGTGTGTGTGGCGTGGCATGTGAGGTGTGTGTGGCGTGGCATGTGAGGTGTGTGTGGCGTGGCATGTGAGGTGTGTGTGGCGTGGCATGTGAGGTGTGTGTGGCGTGGCATGTGAGGTGTGTGTGGCGTGGCATGTGAGGTGTGTGTGGCGTGGCATGTGAGGTGTGTGTGGCGTGGCATGTGAGGTGTGTGTGGCGTGGCATGTGAGGTGTGTGTGGCGTGGCATGTGAGGTGTGTGTGGCGTGGCATGTGAGGTGTGTGTGGCGTGGCATGTGAGGTGTGTGTGGCGTGGCATGTGAGGTGTGTGTGGCGTGGCATGTGAGGTGTGTGTGGCGTGGCATGTGAGGTGTGTGTGGCGTGGCATGTGAGGTGGGTATGGCTCTTGCATGCGAGGCTGTTAGTTGTTACAACAGGGGTTGATCCATTAGGTCATAACTCAATGCGTCCACCATCTCCTCTGACATGCTCCAAATAGCTGATGACGAAATATGTGAGATGTGTATGGCGTTGGATGTGAGGTGTGTATGGCGTTGCATGTGGGGGGGGGGAGGGGGGTATGGATGGCGTTACATGTGAGGTGCGTCTGCCGGTGCATGTGGAGTGTGTATGGCGTCACAGGTGAAGCATGCATGTTGGTACACCAGGGCAGGGCAGGGGTTATTCCCTTGCCTGACGTCACAGCATGGGGACATCCATGGCTTGAATTGAAGCGAGGTGACTTTTGAGTCGACTCAAAAGTCATCTATTCCCTTCCCTGATGTCACAACATGGGGGCATCCATGGCTTGAATTGAAACGCCTAGGCTAATGCATGTGAGATGTGTCGCCACACGCCTGGGTCGGTATGAAGTCGCATCATGAGGCCATGCTTGGCGCCTGCATGTGAGTCGACTCAGAAGCACGGGGGTCGGTATGGATGTCCTGTCTTCTCTCCCCGTCCTCTCTCCCTCCCTCCCTCCCTCCCTCATTTCGCCTCTCCCATCCTTCCTTTCCCCCCCTCCTCCCCCCCTCGCCCCCCTCCCAAGGACGGCACCAAGTCCACGGACGGCAGTGGCATGATAGTGGCCAGCCTCGTTCCGCCTTTGCACATATCACGGGGAGAGATCTTCCAGCCCGACAAGGTAGGTAGGGAAGATGAGGTGGTGCTTTTTGATGCGCCTGAAAGGCAGACACAGCACAGCTCACAGAAGGGGGGTGGGCCAGAAGGGGAGGGATTGGGAGAGGGGGGTTGGCAGGTAATAGGATTTTATACCTCTCCTGTTGGTGTCTCCAATTGGCCAAATATCGCAGACATCAGCCGAAAGTGGTTAGGTTAGGCTGGATCCTCCTGTGCCTGCATAAAGAGCGTCATAGTCTGGCTGTGAGCGTCAAAAGTCACGCCTACTGGGTCTTACATGCGCTCGCCTTCCTGTCCCTCCCTCCTCCCCCCCCTCTCCCCCCTCTCCTCTCTCGCCTTTCTCTGCCCGCTCTCGTTGCACACGCAGCAGTTTATTGAAATCCATATCCTGCAGCAGCAGCAGCAGCAGCAGCAGCAGCAGCAGCAGCAGCAGCAACAGCAGCAACAACAACAACTGCAAGGTAACCAGCACCACCAGCAGCAGCAAGTGCACCAGCAGCAGCAGCAGCAGCAGCAGCAGCAACGACAGAGATCTCGGGAGGAGGCCAGAGCAGTAGCAGCTGCAGCAGTGGCTGCAGCCGCAGCACAAGACTTACCCGATTCGGATTCAGAGGACGAGGCTGCAGCAGCAGCAGCAGCAGCAGCAGCAGCAGCAGCGGCGGCGGCGGCGGCGGCGGCGGCGGCAGTGGCGGCAGCAGCGGCACAAGACTTACCCGATTCGGATTCAGAGGATGAGGCAGCAGCAGCAGCTGCACCACCAGCACTAGCAGCAGCAGCAGCGCCACCAGCAGCAGCGGTGGTTGCAGCAGCGGCACAAGACTTGGAGGAACCAGAGTGGGAGGATGACTTTGACTGGGATGCTGTGAATGTGGCTGTGACGCAGATTGAACAGGAACGGGGGCTGCTGGGGGGGGGTGCTGCTGCTGCCGCTGGTGATGGGGAGGTGGAGGGCGCAAGTGAAGGAAATTAAGGGACAGGCAGAGGGGGAAGAGGAGAGCAGAGGGGAGGGGGAGGGGGAGGGATAGGAGGAGGAGGAAGTATGGTTGGAGGGACAGGCTGGGTTGATAGAGAGGGGGAGGCGGGTTACGAGGAGGCGAGACCAGCGGTGTGGCAGATGAGAGGGTTTCTGGGGGGGATGGTGGTGAAGGGGACTCTGCTGGTCGTCAGACAGGTGAGAGCGCAAGGGGGGGGGAATGGGCTCTGAGGTGCCCACTTTTTTTTCTTCTTTCTTTTTTCCTTTTTTTTCCGGGCGCGTTGAGAATGGAAGAGCGGGTTTTTGGGAGGGGGGAGAGGAGAGAAGGACACCGATGGTGGCCAGCAGGTGAGTGAGAGCGAGGGAATAGGGTCTGAGATAGTGTGGGAAAGGGGGGAAATGTGGGGAAGGGGGAGACTGTGGGGAAGCGGGAGAGTGTGGAGAAGGGGAAGGGCTTGTTGACTGGGGAGGGAGGGGAGGGTGGCCGTCAACCCTAGTCGTCATGGGCCTTGTGGGTGCATGGCTGGTAGACACAAGTCACAAGTTCACGAGTCACATTTCCCATGTCACAACTCCCATCTCCCATGTGCGCACTTGCGCACTCATTGCCCACATGACTGCAATCAGCCATCGTCGTCTGAGATGCACGTCCCATACTACATGCCCGATTTGAAGCTCCTCTCTGTTTCTGTGCCTCACTCGCAGAGCCTCACCATGTTTGTTCCTCCTCCTTATCCCCCCCCTCCTCCATTCTCCCCCTCGTCCGTTCCCCCCATCTTCCGCTCTCTCCCCATCTTCAGATGCCCTGGTACGTCCATCCCGGTGTCTGCATCCTGCTGAGGAGCAGCATGGTCAAAGTCACCGCTCCTCCCCTCCACACTACCCACCACGCACCCGTCTCTGTACCTATAACCCCGGCGCATCACCCTCTTCCCTCCTCTCCTTGGCCTCCGGGACCGACTCATCTGCAGCAGCAGCAGCCGCCGCCTCTTGAATCGCCAAGCGGCCCTCTCTTCTGCATAGAAGTTAACGAAACCACGTGAGTAGTCGACGCAACTTAAAACAAGCCATCAGTTCGAGGTGACTTTCGAGTCGACTCAAAAGTCACCTCGTTACAATGTCACACAACACTTTAACTTAAAACAAGCCATCAGTTCCCCTGAGCTGATGGGGTTGCAACCGGAGACCTCCGTCGGATATTGTTAACAAAATTGCCTGTGCTCGCCATCCCTCTTTTGCTCTTCACCTCTCCCTCTTCCTTCCCCAGCAAGGAGGTCCTGCCTGCACGTCTGAACCGCACGGTGATAGCCCTGTTGGAACGGGGTGGCGTGCCGGCGAGGCTCTTTCTGGACCTCGTGCGCTCTGCTGCTGCTGCTGCCTGTGCGCCTGTTACGGACCTCAAGGCTGCTATGAAACGTGTGCTTTCCCCCCCTGTTTCTTTAAAGTTGATAGTTGACTGCTGCTGCTGCTGCAGCTGCTGCCTGTGCGCCTGTTATGGACTACAAGGTTGCGGTGAAACGTGTGTGTGCGTTCCACCTTCCGCTGTGCCACTGCCACTGCCACTGCCACTGCCACTGCCACTGCCACTGCCACTGCCACTGCCACTGCCACTGCCACTGCCACTGCCACTGCCACTGCCACTGCCACTGCCACTGCCACTGCCACTGCCACTGCCACTGCCCACTGCCACTGCCACTGCCACTGCCACTGCCACTGCCATCCCCTTTTTTCTTCATTTCTTTGCCGTCTTTCCTTCTGTCCGTGGTCCTGTATTTCCTGTTCGTCCTTCTTTCTACATTCCCGTCTTTCCTTGTCATTGCTGTCTGCCTGCCTTATGCCGCTGCCTTTCTTCCTTCCGTTGTTTCTTTCTGCCTCACGTTCCTCCCTCCCTCCCTCCCTCCCTCCCTCCCTCCCTCCCTCCCTCCCTCCCTCCCTCCCTCCCTCCCTCCTTTCTCCTTTCTCCCCCTCTCCTTCCCGTCCGTCATCCCCCCCTGCCTGGCTGCAGTGCTGCGGGAGAGCACGCGTGGGCACAGGAGGGTGCTGGACCCCAGAGACGTGCAGCTGGCGTGCCGCATGCTGCTCTGCAACGTGGACCTGAAGGACGCCTTCATCCAGCGCGTGCTGTGGCGCCTGCAGTACTCGCACATCAAGGTACGCGCCACATCAAGGTACACTCCACATCAAGTTATGTTCACGCATCAAAGCGTGGTGACTTTTGAGTCGACTCAAAAGTCACGCATCAAAGCGTGGCGACTTTTGAGTCGACTCAAAAGTCACGCATCAAAGCGCTCACGAACCAATATGATTCTGCAGGGTTTAGCAGTGGTGGTGCCGCACTGCTACTACCTCATGAGCTTCCCTTAAACCGACTCACATCCCCCCCTCTCCTCGCCTCTCCTCGCCTCTCCTTCTCCTCTCCTTCTCCTCTTCTTGCCTCCTCTTCCCGCCTCTTCTCAGGGCCTGGCTAGTGGCAAGGTGGAGGTGCCGCACTGCTACTACCTCACGGGCGTGCCTTTGAGGCATGTCACATCGCCCGTTTTCCTCTCCTACTTCCCCCTCCTCTCCTCTCCTCTGCTCCCCTCGCCTCTCTGCAGGACCTGGCGAGTGGCAAGGTGGAGGTGCCGCACTGCTACTACCTCATGGGCGTGGCAGACCCCTCACGCACGCTCGCGCCCAACGAGATTGTGGTCCTCCTGTGAGTTCATCACTGCTGTTGACTCGCCTCAAAGCACATGGGCGTGCGTGGCAGCCCGTTCGAGCATGCTCGCACTCAACGAGATTGTGGTCCTCCTGTGAGTTCATTACTGCCTGCTTGGGAGAAAGAGCGTGCATTGACTGCTCATGCAAAGACTAGCCACTGCACGCAATGACGAATGCAAGACACGCTGAATGCCGCTGTTTCTACCTCCTCGGTCTTTGTTTATCCGTTCCCTCTTCCTTGGATCCCCGCTCTCACCCTTCTCACCACTACTGTCACCTCTATCCCCCCTGTATCTCCCTCTACCCCCCTTTATTACCCCATATCCGACCCCCCCAAAACCTCCTACGACAGCCACGACGGGTCAGTGTCCGGCCCGTGTATGGTCTACCAGCCACCCTCTCTCCTCGTGAGGAACATCCGGCTCCTTCCCTCAATATCTCTTCCCTCCTCCCCCATCTCCCCCTTCCCCCCCCCCCCCACCCCCTCCCAAACAGCCACGACGGGCCAGTGTCGGGCCCGTGCCTGGTCTACCGCCCGCCCTCCCTCCTCGTGAGCAACATCCGGCGGCTCTCAGCCGTGCACTCCCCCGCCGTGCTCGCCCTGCTGCCGCGCTCCTCGCGCTTCTGCGTGGTCTTCTCCACTCGCGGGCCGCGGTCCATCACTGACTGCATGGGCGGAGGCGACCTGGATGGGGACAGATTTCTGGTCATCATGCACCCGCAGGTGAGAATCAGGTGGAGGGGAGACAAGTGGGAGCGATGGGGATAAGAGAGGGGACAGCACGGGGGACCAGGGGGACAGGCTCTGCGTGTGTGGTCTGATCTTCTCCTCACAAGGGGTGCAACCCCCTCCCCCCGCCGTGCGCGCCCTGCTGCCATGTTCCTCGCGCTTCTGTGTTGTCGTCTCCATACGCGGGCTGTGGTCTGTGCCCGACTGCATGGGGGGGGGGACGACCTGGATGGGGACAGGTTTCTGGTCATGATGCACCCTCAGGTGAGGCTGGGGCTGTTCTGAGCCGGCTGGCTTGAACTGATTTCCCACGGAGGTGCGAGGGGTGCAGTCCATTACTGACTGCATGGGCGGGGGGGTCCCTGGATGGGGACAGATTTCTGGTATGATGCACCCTCAGGTGAGGCGGGAAAGGGGGGGGGGGTGAGGGGATGAGGGAAGTAGGGAAGTCGGGAGAGGGGGCTGGAAGGGAAGGAGGAGAAGGGTGGTATTTGGGTCATCTTGCACCCTTGGGTGAGGCTTTGTTTTTGTGAGGAGAGGGTGTGAAGGGTGGGGAAGCGGGTGGGTGGGGAGAGAAGCGGGATAGGGCTGAGCGGAATGCTGGGAGAAGTGGATGGGTTGGGCGAAACCTGGAAGGAACGGTGCTTGCTCATCTCAACCATCCATTCATACACCCCGGAACTTTGAATCTGTTGCCGCTTCTCCATCCCATCCATCCCATCCATCCCATCCATCCCATCCATCCCATCCATCCCATCCATCCCATCCATCCCATCCATCCCATCCATCCCATCCATCCCATCCATCCCATCCATCCCATCCATCCCATCCATCCCATCCGTCCCATCCATCCCATCCATCCCATCCATCCCATCCATCCCATCCATCCCATCCATCCCATCCGTCCCATCCATCCCATCCATCCCATCCATCCCATCCATCCCATCCCACCCCATCCTCGTCAGATCGTGGGCGCCTTCCAAGAGCGGCCCCTGCCACCGCCCTGCTCCTCTGCCTCGGAAGCTCTCCCCCCACCCCCGGCCGACCCTCTTGTGCGGGAGAGAGCGCTTGTTCGCTGCTGGCTCGAGGGAGAGCTGTATACACGGTGAGGGGGGCGAGGGAGGGGGGGGAAGGCTTTGAAGGGTACATCAATTGATGCGTGGGGGGAGGCATTGTTCTAGAGAATTCTCAAAAGCACCATGAATTTCGTCACATGTCACTGCAGCGCACACTTTCTTCTGCAGCAAATTGGGCGGTCCTGTGCCTTCTCCCGTCCCCTATGCCTGCTCCCATCCCACCATGCGCACACCACCAGATTCCACATGGGTAAGCAGAGCAACCGCCATCTAGCGCACATGGACCGCTCCCTTTGCCAAGGAGAACCTTCCTCGGCAAATTGGGCCTTCATATGCCTTCTCCGGTCCCCTATGCCTGCTCCCGTCCCACCAAGCGCGCACCATCAGATTCCACATGGGCAGGTTGGGCAACCTCCACCTCGCGCACATGGACCGCTCCCCCCTGGGCCCTGACTCGCCCGAGTGCAAGCAGCTGGCGGTGCTGTATGAGATGGCGCTCGATTCCTCCAAGACCGGCCAAGTGGTAAGCTGTGTGTGTGTGTGGCTGGGTGGGTGGGTGAGTGGTGCTGACTCGCCCCGAGTGCAAGCAGCTGGCGGTGCTGTATGAAACAGTGCTCAGTTCCTCCAAGACAGCCCAAGTGGTGGGTGCTGTGGGTGTGTGTGCTTGTCTGGGCTTTTTGGACTGCGTGTGCCTGTGATCCGTGTCTTTCAGTGTCTGTCTGTGTGTGCGTGTGTGATGTGATCTATCCCCTCATCCCTCTCCCCATCCCTCTGCTCTTCTGTATCCCGGTCCCTATCCCTCTCTTTCACAGGTCGGGGGCTTTGACCGCTTTAAGCTCGAGAGCTACCCGCACTTCATGCGGGGTGTGAATCGCACCTGCTACCATTCCACGTCGCTCATGGGGCAGATGTTCGACGCCGTGCAGGACGAGAGGAGAAAGCACGTCATCGACACAGGTATGCGATGGCGTTTGATTTGACTCCACAGCATGGCTTTATGTCGGTTTAAAGATCACATCATGCAGTTGGAGGGGGATGGCACCTCCTCGTCGCTCATGGGGCAGATGTTCGGCGCCGTGCAGGACGAGAGGAGGAAGCATGTGCTAGACACAGGTATGCCTACTTCTATCAGGCAGCTCCAAGAGCTGGTGTATTTGGATTCAGCTCAAAAGGCACCTGCTACCACTCCACGTCGCTCATGGGGCAGATGTTCGACGCCATGGAGGACGGGAGGTGTGTAAAGCCCTTCGATTCCACGACATTTCTTTCAAGTCGGCTCAAAAATCGCTTCATGCACTCGGGGCATGGCACTTGCAACCACTCCACGTCGCCCATGGGGCAGATGTGTGATGCTCATGTCTGACGCTCTGCAGGACGAGAGAAGGGAGCACGTCATTGACACAGGTGTGCATACTTTCCAGGCGCTTCAAAAATAAAGGAGTGCTTTTGTTGTTGTGAAAGGTATGCCCACGTCTGCGGTGGTCTTGTGTTTCCCCCTCCAGATGCCTTCCCTCCTGACCCTCACATGATGACATCGCCTTGCTGGCCTCCAGGGGCCCTAGCAGCCCTGATAGCCAGCTCAAGTGGGCGCAGCTGTTGAGCGAGTATGAGGAGGAGGTGTGGGATGTTGTGCAGCAGAGGCATTCCCCTCATATCGACCACCTCCTCTCTCTCCTCCCTCTTATTCAGGCGCCTTCACGCCAGACCCTGACATTGTCTTGCTGGCCTCAAAGGACCCCACCGGCCCTGCCAACCGGCTGAAGTGGGCGCAGCTATTGCACGAGTACGAGGAGGAGGTGCGGGACGTGGTGCGGCAGAGAGCCACGCTGCTGGGGGGCGCTCGGCGAGCCAGGCTTTATGCAATTGAGAAGCCGTACCGCCAGGTGGGTGGAGGGAGGAAGGATGCGCCATGGGAAAATAGGGGAAGCAATGGGGGAGGGTGGAGTTGGTGGATGGGCTATTTCTCCTGATGGCTGAAGTTCTCCTGTGCTCCTTTCCAGGTGCCTCAGAAACAGCCTTCGTCTTCTCTCTTTCTTTTTCTCCTCCTCGCCTCGCCACCTCATCGCGACAAATCCCTACAGGAGAAGCTGGAGAAGGGATGGAAACCCTCCTTTGAGCACCCAAGCCGGCCACCGAACATGCTGTATGAAGCCGCATCGCTGTACATGGTGGGGTATGAGCTCGCACAGAGAGACATGGCGTTACGAGCAGAAAGAAGTGCAAACGGTGCTGCAGAAGGGGCAGGTCTTGGGACTGGTGGAGTGGGAGGAGGAGATGTTGAGATGGGGATGAATGGGAATGGTGGTCGAGGGGGGGAGGACGAGTGGGGCGGTGCGGGAGGGGATGAGGAGGAGGGTGATGGAGAGAATGAGGGAGATAACGAGGTGATGGAGTATGATGAGGAGGATATGGAGGACGAGGACTTGGCTGATTGCACTAATAGGGCAACTCTCGCATGCCGGTTTGTCTGGCATGTGGGTGAAGTTGTGCTATGTGAGGCGAAGTCCCGGCTGTGTCTCTCAAAGCCGGATGCTTTCTGTGGCTTAAATGTGAACAGAAGTGGGCATGGAGTGAGCAACAGGGACTGGAGTGGGGTTGGGGGGAGTGGTGGTGTTGCGAGTATGGGGTGGGGTGTGGAGAATGGAGGGTGTGAGGGTGTGCTAATGGCTATGGAGAAGGACGCGTTTGTTGAGATAATGGGTCTGATGGAAAGGGGTGGTGCTAGCGCACTTTGATGCAGGCTTGATCATGCAATTGAATTGTCTGAAGTTCACATTTCTTTTAATAATCATGTTAATGCACAAATGTGCCCCTGGTCTCTCCCTATATTTGATTCAGCTGAAGTGTAGAGATGGGAAGTGTGGAAGGTCGAGAAGGATACGCCACCTTCTAGAAGGTCGCTCAAGCCTAAGCCACGTCAGCTAAAAGGCGTAAATCGTGCCGTAAACACACTCTTACTGGTTTAAGACCAGGGCTCTGATTAACAGGGTAATTGTTTTTCTTAATGCTGAGGTAATTAAGAGTTGTTTTCGACCTGATTCCGTTTTTCGGCGTAGCAAAGTTCTATTGATTCCGTCTGAAAACGGATTTATTTTCGTGTGATTCCCGACATTACACGAAAATAAATCCGTTTCTTTGATTCCATACGAAGTGCACTTGTAGTAGGAGATCGGTTCTGTTAGCCCTGGCAAAGGCCATTTGTCTTTGAGATTTTAGTATCAAATTCAAGAGTAGACTTCTACGAATCCGTATTTTAACGGGTAGTGTTTGGGCGATTCCGTCTGCTAACGGGTAATTTCGGGGCCGATTCCGTGACCTAACGGAATACCCCAGGCCTTGGCGAGAGCCCTGCTCAAGACCACAAATTACCTGCTCAAGGCCAGGATGTGCTGTCATGCTCTCACCAAAAAGCTGGGAACCAATTGGTGGCGTGGATATCCCCGATGAGCTTCGGATCCAACATCGCGGATGACCTGGCAAAACTGAGGCTCTAGCACGTCACAACCCTCTTTCACCACGAAGCGAATGCCATCTGGAACCCCAAAGTGTCCCCGTTTTTTGGATGCTCGGCCATTCCATCAAATTGTCCAGCTCGAACCACCAATAGTGAGCCGTGTACTTTGCACTACCTGCCACGCTGGCGAACTTTCCGACTCCCGCTGACCATCCTAGAAATTGCTTTCTCCTGGACATTGTGCACAGCAGTCTAGCAGAAATAGCTTTTGGCCTTCTTTCTCCACTAGCATTGTATCTATCACCAGGAAGCATTGGCTGTCCTGAGCTCTCCTGACATCATAGGCAGCGATAATGGCCTCGGCGTCGCTCGTCGGAGCCTCCGCTCTCGCTCCCGCGACAGCGCAGGTGCCGCGCGGAAAGTCGCAGCTGCAACCGCTTTCCCTCACCAATCCATCTGCCGTTCCTATCAGCATTGGGTCTGGCTCCCAAAGCGCCATTTTCCGTGCCGCTGCTCCCTCCTCCTCCGGCCGCTCCTCTGTCGCTCCATGCCAGGCGACGAAGGACGGGAAGTGGGGGGTTCAGCTACCGTGGGATAAGAAGGACGAGGAGGAGGAAGAGGAAGAAGAGGCACCAGGCAAGGCGATTCTGGGAGTTAACCTGCCATGGGGTAAGAAGAAGGAGGAGATGGAGGTGGTGGAGGAAGAGGCACCAGGAAAGTCGATTCTGGGAGTGAAGCTCCCCTGGAAGCGCGAGGTTGTGGTGGAAGAGGAGGAAGAGGAGCCTCAGGCCAAGTCGATTCTCGGCCAGCTGGGAACGATGCGCTGGTCGCTCAAGCCGAAGGACGAGCAGGAGGAGGAAGAAGCAGCAGTAGAGGAGGAGAAAAGCAAGGCGTCGTTTTTTAATCAGCTCGGAACGATGCGCTGGTCGCTGAATGCGGGGGAGGCGGCGGAGGAGGTGGAGGAGGTGGAGGAGGTGGTGGAGGAGGAGGAGGACGAGAGCGCGTCGTTCTGGCGGCAGTGGTACGTCAGCATCACGGGGTTCCCGTTCCCGCTGCGTCCCTTCCTCAGTCGCAAGACGTACCGCTATGAGGTGAGTTGGGAAGATCGGATCATCAAAGAAACCTTTTTTTCTTCTTAATAAAACCTGCTGAATTACTACTTGTTCTGCGAACACCGTTCTCGTGGCCCCGGAGTGCCACCTTTGCCTGCTCCCATCGCTCCTTCACTTCGGAAGAGTTCTGAAACTCCTGGATCGTTCACCCGCTATTCCTCCCCTTCATTTTCTCGTGTCAATTTCTCTCCCCCCCCCCCCCCCCTACCTCTGCCCTTTGCCGCACCTTACCCATCTTCCCTGCTCTAAACCCCTCTCTTCCGCCAGGTGGACCCTGGCAGCACCTGGAGCTTCGAGCAGGAGCAAGGGCTGGGATTCAGCAACGTCACGACCAACGTCAGGTGCGTACCCTGCATACTCAGCTGCCTGCCGCCTCCCTGCATACCCGACGGACGGTAGAGTAGAGTATGCTGGATTCCAATTCCGGGCGAGGAGTGGATCGTTGGCACCAACTGCATTCACCTATGCCGGCCGTATCCGCCGTTCTCTTGCTCTGCTGGCCACGCTTCTTTCTTACTTGTTTTCGAGGTGCCTTATAAAGGTTTGTTTCTGGTTCTTTTTCTTCCCTTCTGTGTTGGCTGGCCGTGCTCTTGCTGATCAGAATGACCGTTATCAAGCTCAAGTCCGGCGGGCTCTTCGTCCACGCGCCTATTGCGCCCACGGCCGAATGTCTCAAGGTGAGGCTCAAGCTAAGAATGTTATCATGTCCTGCGTTCTGCCGCATCCCCCCCAACTTGTCGCGGCTTTAATGCCAATCCTACCGAAATATGCTGACGGCTCGGGAGTTAGCGGGTTCACGAGCTGGTGAGATGACAGGCGGCAGAGGTTTAGTCGTTGAGAGTGACATTTCGGGCTATTTTAGGGTGCATGGGCGATGGAATCTATCGAAGGAAGTCGAGGGAAGAGAAGCAGAGCAGCATGTGATGTGAGAAAGTGAGAGAGATTCCAAGAGTAGAAGAGAGAGACTCCCAACGCTGTTGCTCACTCTCCCTCCTCCTCCTCTCCCCTCTTCTTCCCCTCCCTCGCTCTCACACCACCTCTCCCCTTTCAGCTCCTGGCGGATTTGACCGAGCCTCCCTGAAGACCTCTTCGTCCTCCCTTTCCTCGCTTACGAGCGCAAAGCTCCCTTCTGAAGCGCCTTAAAGCTTTTCCCCGCAGTACCTTCTCTTCCTCCCCCTCACATGCCCTCCCTTCCCCTCCCTCCGTTCCTCCTCAGCTCGGATCTCAATCTCCCCGTGGAGCACTTACGTGCTTCCCGCCTTCGAGCACAAGTTCTTTCCTTACATGCGCCTCAAATCCCTCTCCCCCCACTCTCCCCTCGCCCCCCTCTTCTCCCATGCACTCCCTCCCCCCAATCAGCTCCTGGCGGATCTCAAGCTCCCCGTGGAGCACATCGTCCTCCCCACCTTCGCGTACGAGCACAAGGTGTTCGCGGGGCCCTTTGCGCGCGCGTTCCCCAAGGCGCGCGCGTGGGTGGCGCCCCGCCAGTGGAGCTGGCCCATCAACCTTCCCCTGCCGCTCCTTGGGCTCTTCGGGGGGACGGTCCTGGCCGAGGAAGGGCCCAAGCCTGACGAGTGGCCCGAGGAGATAGATTATAAGATCTTTGCATCCCCGGAAGTTGGTGAGTGGCTGAAAATCTGCACATTCTTGAGAAATCTTAGAAACCTAGCGCATTCGCTACGCAGTGGAGCTGGTCCATCAACCTGCCCCTGCCGTCCCTGGGGCTTCAATGCGGGACGGTGCTTGGCTGAGGGCGGGCCCAAGTCTGACGAGTACCCTGAGGATATTGGCTACAAGTTTTTTTCATCGCTGGAAGTGAGTGAGTAAGAGAGTCGTGAACGATGCACGTACTCCCTTCGCTGCGTCATCCCCCAACCCTCCTCTCTGTCTTCTCCGTCACGATTCCCTCATGCCCCCTCGTCCCCCCGTCCCTTCCCCTCTCTTGCCCGCTCTCCCACTCTCTCTCTCTCTCTCTCTCTCTCTCTCTCTCTCTCTCTCTCTCTCTCTCTCTCTCTCTCTCTCTCTCTCTCTCTCTCTCTCGCTCTCTCTCTCTCTCTCCCCCCCCCCCCCAGGCATTGGCCCGTACGTGGAGATAGCCTTTTTCCACCGGCCCTCGCGCACGCTGCTCCTGACCGACGCGGTGATCGTGGTGCCCAGGGAGCCGCCCCAGGTGGTGCGCACAGACGCACTGCTGGACGCTGCCCGCAATGGGCTGGCTGTGCGAGTGCTGTCGGCAGGGCGAGAGGTGCCGGATGTGGAGGTGGAAGACACGGAGGAGTTCAGGACGCTCGGTGAGTTGAAATGAAGGGGGGTGGTTGGCCGGTTGGCTGGTTGGGGGAGTCCCTCCAGGTGGTGAGTGGCAGGCTGGCGGTGCGAGTGCTGTCGGCGAGCAGGGAGGTGCCGGATGTGGAGGTGGAAGACTCCAAGGAGTTCAGGACGCTCGGTGAGTTAATCTGAAGGCGGCTGGTTGGTTTCGGGATGGGGCGCGGGGAGAGGCGCTGCTAGAGCCTAGAGGGTGGGTGCTTGCAACGGTCTTGCAGCACGCGTGCTGTCGGCGGGACGAGAGAGGTGCCGGATGTGGAGGTGGAAGGTGGGGGTTCAGGAGGTCTGAGCCCATCTACAGAGGAGGTCAGGACGCTTGGTGAGATGACGTAGATGGGGGTGGTTGCCTTGCCTGGCTAACGGGAGTCCCTCCAGGTGGTGAGTGAGTGGGGAGGCGTTGCTTGACGCTGTCCGCAGCGGGCCGGTGGTGCTAGTTCTGTTGGCAAGCTGGGAGGTACCAGATGTGGAGTGGAATCAAGTGGGAGGGAGACACGGAGGAGTTGAGGACGCTTGGTGAGTTGAAGTGAATGGGGGTGTTTTAAAGCCCAGGAGGTAAAAGTGTGAGTGCTGTCAGCGGGCGGAGAGAAGTGCCGGATGTGGAAGTCGGAAGATACAGACCAAGTCAGAACGCTCAGTGAGTTGAAATCAAGGGGAGTGGTAACTGGTCAATTGCAGAACCCCACACCTTAAACCTTAAACCCCGCTATCCCGAACACACAGGCGCGGATTTTCTAAGCCACTCTTAACGTTTTGCACGATGTTCCCTCAAATGCAATGCGCCGCCGCTCTCCCCAATCCTCCCCAAGCCATCAACCTTAACCTTTACCCCCCTCCCCTCAACTCCTGCCCCCTGCTTTCAAACTCACCAGGGTGGCAGGCAGCGCATGGTCCTGCAGATTACCCATGCCCTAGCCACTTACCATTGTCCTCTTCCCATCAAACCCCCACCCCTCCCCTTACCCGCCACACCAGGGTGGCAGCGCATGGTGCTGCAGATTCTCTTCTTCGGCCCGGGCAACCTCCTGGAGCCAGAGGAGGCGTTTGAGCGCATCTGCGGCAAGCTCGTGGTGTCGCCCGTCGTCAAGACACTCGTCTTTGACAAAGTGCCCGTGCAGGTAAGGGGTTGGTTGGAACTTGGAGGTTGGTGCCATGCGGCATGTTTGTACAATTCAGAGGAGGCGTTTGAGTGCATTTGTAGCAACCTGGTCGTGTCGCCTGCCGTCAAGACGCTTGTCTTTGACGAAGTGCCCGAGCAGGTGGGTTGTTGACAGTTTGTTCCTGACAGGTGCGAGGTCCTTGGCTGATGTGGTGTGGTCTGTCTTTGTTTCCCTCTCTGAGTAGTTTCTGTTGGCATGTCATTTGACTGCCTGTCTGTGGCCCCAATCCCCCCTCCCCTCTCTCACCATCTCCACCACTCTTGAACTGCTGATACCCACCTTCCAACCACCCACACACATCCCTCCTCTCCTCTCCCCCCCCCCCCCCCCCCCCTCTTCCCCACACCGCCCCGCAAGCCCTAGCATGGATCAAGAGCATCACATCTGATTGGGCGTTCATCCGCATCATCTCATGCCACTTCTATCCACCGCCTCACATCCCTCCCCTCCAACACCCCCGCCCCTCCTCCTCCCCCCCCCACCCACCCCCCAACCCTCCCCGCAGGCCCTAGCATGGATCAACAGCATCACATCTGACTGGGCGTTCACCCGCATCATCCCATGCCACTTCTCCTCGCCCATCGCCGCCACGCCATCCGACCTACGAAAAACCTTCGCCTTCCTCCAAGACCTCCTCCCCCCCGGCTCCACCTCGCCATTCCCTGTGATCCCCTCTCTACCGGCCGTGGCTCTGCCGAGCCTGGCAAGCTTGTTTGGAAGGGGGAAGGAGGCTGCTCCTAGGGTGGAGGTTGCTACAGAGTATGCCGAGGAGGATTTGCAGACACTCACTTCGCTTGATTCGACCCTGGTGTCGCTGGGAGTGGTCAAGAGGACCGGTGATCCTTGAAGGCGTTTCAGCTCGGTTGGCCTTGTAGTGGTAGTAAAAGATAGTTATTATGCCCCTTTCTAAAGGAGATTTGGAGATTTGTGTTGTACCGGTAAAGGTAGGTTGGTTCCTCATGGATACTGCCCTCAAGGACCGGTGTAGGTTTTTAGTCTACACTCCGAAATACCCAGAAATAAATCTTAGGGCGTGTGACTAGTAAAAAAGGTCAAATTACGTACAGCACCGCCAGCACGTACAGCGAGTACTTACAGGCTGCAAATCAGCGAATAGAATCGGCCAACGCCCCACCTCCAAAATTGAGAGCGCGGTCAGGTGCGCACATTCTGGTACTTACGCGCGGAACGGACACGATCAAGGCGCGTCCTTTACATGCGAACAATTTCGAGAAGGAGATCCTGAATTTCGTTTAGTCAGTGCGCCTTTGACTGCACTTTGATTCGGCGCGAAGTATTTCGCATATCGCGCGCTACCTTGTCGCGCATCGCAAGCATCCCAATGTAACGAGGTGTGAGGTGTGGAATAATGTTGAAAGTTGGTACGTACGACAGGTGCGAACCTCTCCCAGTTGGGTGTTCGTCACCCGTTGTGTGCCACGAACAGGGGCATTGACCAAGAGTTGTGTTAGAATCGCGAATAGTGTTACCACGAAAAATTGCGTACTCCTCCAGCGTTGCGTTCCAAAAATCACACGCCCTTAGCGAACTCGCCAAAACTATTGCACGAGCTCTGCAATCTGCTGTCATGTGGTCCTCACCTCACCACCAGTCAACTTATCATACAGCCTACTAATTATTGTAGTCACCAATATTGGCACGCGGAACCCTTCATGCTTCCCTCCTAATCACCTTCCGTCCTCCTTATTTCCTGGGTCACCTTCTACTGGACAGAAGCGCCAATCCCTGCGCCAGCAAGCCTCTCCCCCCCATCCCGCGCTCCCCCTCTTTACTTGCTCTCCGCCGCACTCCCACGTTCCAATTCCCAGCCTCCGCTACCCTTCGCGTTCCGCCTGTCTCCGCATTCCGACACGGGGAATCCTACTCCCCCGATGGCGGCGGGATCGCGCGCGCTTTTTCTGGGGGTGGACGGCGGCGCATCTTCCACCTCCGCCGTCCTACTCGACCTCTCGCGCGCAAACGCCGCTGCGCCCGCGGAGGCGGACATGGCGGAAGCTGCCGGGCCGGCGGAGCTGACGGCGGAAGGCGCGCGCGAGTGCGTGGTGGGGCGCGGAAGCAGCGGAAGTTCGAATAAGAACAGCGTGGGAGGTGCGGCGGGGCGGATAGGGGGAGGGGATGGGGGTAGGGTAGGGATAGGGGGAGGGGATGGGGGATGGGGGATGGGGGTTGGGGTTGGGGTTTTGGGGGGGGGGGGAGGTGGTGGGGTGGGATAGCGAGGTCGGAGTGGGGGGCAATGCAGAAGAGTTTAGGGGGAATGGAGTGACGACGGCTGTGCCTGATGAAGGCGTGAGAGGTTTGCTTTGCGCACACGTTGTTTTTAAGGCGCTTCAAGAATAGAGTCGTCACGCTGTAAGGAAGAACAGGGAATGGAAGGAGTGAGGAGTGGGGTAAGGGTTCCGGGGGAGAGACTGACAAAGTCTATTTTTTACGCGCCTACAAAAATTTGGTGCCTCACAGAAAGGGGTGGGGGAGGGGCCGTTTAAGAATTCTAAAAATACCCCTTTTGCAAGCGAAGAGTACAGAATATGGGAGGTTTTGAGGTGCCTGAAAACTAAAACTGAATTCTCAAAAAGCCCATGTGTGAGGAGGAGTACAGAATGGGGGAAGTTGGGACGTGTGAAGGGGGGGCGTGAGGATGGTAGGCGGGGTTGGTTGGGGGTCCTGGGGGAGGGGAGGGTGGGTGTGTTGGCTTGTTGTTTGTGCGAAGCAGAAAGGCAGGAACCGGGGATATGTAGTCAAGAATCTAGTCTTTCTTTCTTTCTTTCTTTCTTTCTTCCTTCCTTTCTTCCTTTCTTTCTTTCTTTTTTGTGTGTGTTGGCAGCTACGAGAGGTGGTTTCACCTTCCCCTATTCTTCCCTCCGTCCCGAGTCCCCTCTTCCCCTCCCCCTTAACTCCCCCCCCCTTTCCTCCCTTCCTGCCCTTTTCCCCAGAGGCCAGCGCAAGCAGCCGTGGAGGGGGATCTGGGGGCGGCGGGGCCAGGAATGAGTGCCTCTTTTCATTCCCCCGTTCCCCCATCCCCCTCCCCCCTAAATCCCCCCTCCCTCCTAATCCCCCCTCCCCCCTTCCTCAGAGGCCAGTGCGCGCAGTGCGCTGCGATCAGCCATGGAAGGGGCTCTGGGGGCAGCAGGGGCAGCAGCGGGGGAGGTGGCGGGTGTGTGTGTGGGGATGGCGGGGGTGGACAGACCCGCGGACGTGCAGCTGGTGCGCTCATGGCTCAGGTAGGGGGGGAAGGAGGGGGCGGAGGGGAAGAAGAAATGGGAGGGGGAGTGGGAGGGGGGAGTGGGAGGGGGGAGGGGAGAGGGGGAGGGGAGAGGGGGAGGGGAGTGGCGGTGGGGTAGTGTGGGGTGTTGTGGGGGAAGATGCCCTTGACTTGACCTTAGTTGCTACAAACGCTCTGGCAGACACCCGTTTAGCGTTCAAACGCTTGCGTTTGAACGCAAACGCCAAACGCACCCAAAAACGCAAACGCTCTCTGGGATTTTTTTCTGGCTGCCCCCAAAAAAACAACACGAGATTGTCGTTGGAGAGTAGCCTTAAGGATAGGTGATTTACATGACATATGAGGATGCTGGCTTAAATGTTAAGCACGGTTCTTTTTTATGATACAGAATGCCTGCTGGTAGAACCCCCATGTTTCCCCCCTCCCCCACAGGAATCTTGAACCCCTGCCCGTGTAAAAATTTTACCCCTGCCCGGGCAAGCGTTTGCCTAGCGTTCACATACACACTGCCGAGCGTTTAGCGTTCAAACGCCAAACGCGTTTGTAGCAACTAAGGACTTGCAGAGGGTCACCTCAGCGGGTTGTGTGTGGCAGGATTGGACAGACTTGCAGACGTGCAGCTGGTGCGCTCAAAACTTTGTATACACACACACACACACACACACACACACACACACACACACACACACACACACACACACACACACACACACACACACACACACACACACACACACACACACACACACATATATATATATATATATATATATGATGTATAATTCCCTCCAATCCACGTTCCCCTTCTTCATCCACTCGACTCTCCCCCCCCACCCCCCCCTCCCTTCTTCCCCTGTTCCCCCACCTCCCGCCCTCCTGCCTGCTCATCCGCAACGATCCTCTGGTCGCCTTCGCTTTGACTATCCTTGCCGCCATTTTCTCCTTAACTCCCCACCCCACCCCCACCATACCCCCACGCGCTCTCCCAACCCCACCCCATCTCCCCCCCCCCCCCAGCCCCTTATTCCCCCACCTCCCGCCCTCCCGCCTGCTCATACGTAATGACGCCCTAGTCGCCTTCGCCAGCGCTACTCTTGGCATCATCCCCGCTGCTGCTGCCACCACCGCCACAGGCATTCTACCGGACGAAGGGGAAGAGAGGATAATAGGGGGTGGGAGAGGAGGAGGAGGGGGAGGGGGGACGGAAGGGAGAGTGGATGGGGAGAATGGGGGAGTGGTAGTGATTTCAGGAACCGGGACGATAGCATATGGGATGGCTGCGGACGGCCGGGAGGCGAGGGCGTCGGGGGGAGGGCCGCTGCTGGGGGACAAGGGTAGCGGATACGCCATGTGCTGCGACGCACTGGCGGCGGTGCTGCGCGCGTGGGATGGGCGGGGACGTGTGACATCGCTGACTGAGGCCGTGCTGGGGCATGCTGGGCTCAGCAGCCCCAGCGAGCTGATTGGGTGAGAGGGGTGGAGTGAGAGGGGAGAGGGAATGGGGTGAGGGAATTTCGTGAGAGGGGATCTGGTGGGTCCCTTTCCCCTCTCATATCACCAGTCGGCACTTCTCTTTCTCCCCTTCCCCCCCGCTCTGCCCCACCCCCACCATCCCCACCATCCCCACCACCCCCACCATCCCCACCATCCCCACCATCCCCACCATCCCCACCGTGCTGCTTCGCCTCTCCCTATTTCGCCCTTCCCCCACCGTGGGGAGGACACCTCCTCCCCACCTCCTCCCCTCGTTTTTGCAGACCCTGCATGGTCCTGCATGGAGGCACGCTCTTCCTCCCAACCTCCCCATCTCCCTTCCCCCATCTCTCCATGTCTCCCCCCGCTCTCCCTCGCCCCCCGTCAGCTGGGCCTATGCAAACCCCTCATGGTCCCGCTTTGCAGCGCTCTTCCCGTGCGTGCGAGCGTGTGCAGCAGCGGGCGATGCTGCAGCCATGGCTATTGTCACCGATGGCGTGGAGGAAATGGCGCTGTCGGCCCATGCTGTCGCCTGCAGACTCGGATTCCCAGGTGACGCTATTTCTTCCCAAGCGACGCTTCTGATGCCGTTCTCAGGTGTTGACTTTCTGGTACTGAAGGCACACGCTCCATGGTTCGGTTTTTGTCACCTGTGGCGTGGAGGAGACGGCGCTATCAGCGCATGGTGTTGCTTGCAGACTCGGATTTCCACGTGATGCTCACCTATCGCCACAAGCCCCTTCAAGCATCGATGCTTATGCAGTTTGTCCTCTGTCGCTCTTCCCATAGCCCCCTCTCACATCCAAGACTTGAAAAGTGATACACGCTCCCACATCCTACTCTTCCGTTCATCTCCTCACCTCAACTCACCTCACCTCACCTCACCCCACCTCACCTCACCTCACCTCACCTCACCTCACCTCTCATCTCATGCCCGTCATACCCAACATAATGCATACCTCCCACTGCCTCCTCCCAGTGATCCAATTTCCACTTAAAAATTCCACCCCTTACCCTTCCATGCGCCAATACCTGTGCCCCCTCAGCGTCTCGCCAGCCGTTCCTTATAGTCACAGCGGGTGGTGTGCTTACAGACAGTTCGCCGCCCAACATTCCGCGCATGTTTGACCAACAGATCCGCATGCTGCTGCCGTCTGCTGTTGTCAAGCCGCCACAGGTACGCTGACAGAGCGGGCAGGGGCCTTTTTGAAGGCGTTGAAGCATTTTGCACTCGAGTGTTACTGGTAGTGTGTATATTTTCGTTATTGTTTTCTCCCTGCCCTTGTTACTGCGGATGGGGTACATCCTCAACCGGTTTCTTGCCATTCGATCTGCTTCAGGTGGAGGCTGCTGTAGGGGCTGCACTCTTGGCTTGGCGCATCACATTGTGCTGAGTTTAAGATGTTTGCATGCTAGTGTGTTGTGGTGACTCACACATCAGCACTGATTATGAACAACATGAATCTTGGATTCCCAACACTCAGCTATGAAATCAGTTGATTCTCCCGTACATGTCACTACTTGCCACCAGGGCTCTCCCTAGATGGCCGTTTCAGCTTTGTCTGATGGATCAGAAAAATGTAATGTGAATTTCTGTTAAAACAGACAAAATATTTTGGGGAGTCTATTAGGCAGTACACTAGAAAGGAGGAAGCAGGAGCAGTCCATTAATCATTGCAATCTACTCTGTGTCACTACTTTCTACCACAATCGAAGTCCGCACATCTACACGGAGCTGCTCATCCCTACGCTGCTTCTTTGACTTCTTCCTCTTGACCCTAGACGGCACTGCCTCTTCGGCTTTCTCTCCTAGCTCTGCTGCTGCGGCTTTTGCTGCTGCTGCCGCTGCTGCTGCTGCCGCTGCTGCTTCTGCTGCTGCTGCTTCTGCTGCTGCCTTCTTGCGGCGATTAAGGGAAGGGAGGGGCATGCTGACTTCTCTGGCCGGGCGCCGTTTCTTTGGCCTCCGCAACATCTCCAGGACATCATCCAGAACAACATCGTACTGCAGAAGGGACACGCACATGAGGTCGGAGAGGCGGGCATCACACAGGTTACCGTGAAGCCAGGACTTGATAGCATTTTGGCGGCTGAAGCCGCGCTCACACTCAACGGTGCTGAGTGGGAGAACGGCGACAGCCACCCAGATCCTGATTAGGTTGGGGTAGGTAGCTAGCCAGTCTGGCGAGCGCCAGACGTTCTTGAGGCAGTTGAGAAACGAGTGATCCTTGTAGTGGCTGAACATCATGCGTGAGAAGGGCTTCACTTCACGCTCGGCCGCAGCCCAGTCGACGCCTGGGGCAGGGTTTATGCAGACATGTAAAAGTAACAAGGCATTAGCATTGAAGTCGGTCATAGAGTGCATAACACATGCATTTATTTGTGCAACAAACAGACTCACCTGGCATGTTACACGACTCAGCGCTGAAGAGTTGCTTCAGCGATGCGAACCACTCGGCGCAGAGACGATCGAGCCGGGCGTAGTTGTCGGGATAGGCGTCGGCGAAGAAGAGCTTGGCGCCGCGGAGTGTGCTGAGGCTCGCCATGCGGGTCTCCAGGTTGGTGATAACGTCCTGCGCAAACAAGGAGGCAAGGTCAATGCAGGACTCGAGATCTCCAAGGCTGACTTGATCCTTCAGCTGCTTCTCGTGAAGGCGGAAGGTGTGCGTTGCAGGGTTGCCCTCGGAGTCCAAGCCATCCACTGTGACGACCCGCTTGCTGGTAGGTCCATGGTCGTCGAGGAACCCAGTCAGCTTCATGCTCCCCTCGCACTCGCAGCACGTTGCATGTGTTCTCAACGATGGTGCCGACCTTCGTGACATCGACCTGAGACAATCGTTACAGGGTGCAGGAGTTAGAGACCAACACATTGTAGTAATAAATGCTTGCGAGGTCGAGTGCTTACCGCGCGGCACTGGAACTTGCGATTCAGATCGTTGAGAACGGTTAGTAGGTCAGCGAGGAAAAACAACAAGAAACGGAACTTAAAACTCGTTACCACCTCATACATCTTCGTGTCGAACTCTCGCAGTAGCAAGATAGCCGCAGGGAGCACATCACAGTCTCAGAATTGCCTCACCACGGGAAAGCCAGCGTATATCCTTGATGCCCTGCATCTCGAGCTGCGTCTGGTGGATGTAGTTCTGAAGCTCAAAGAAGCGGGAATGGACGACGATGCTGCACCCTAGAATGTCTGCGAGGGAGCGCACCATCTTGTCGACCACTCCCAGGTCAGGGTTGCTGTTGGCAGCATCCTTGGCTGCCAACGCTTCTTTGCACAGCAAATCAAGGATGCAGCAGTCAGTGTTTTACTCGTAAAGAATGGATCATGCAAGCACACGCAAATAGACATGTCACCTATGCGCAATGCAATGGCAGGACACGAGGTGAGGAACACGCTTGCGCAGCTGCGCAACAAGACCGCGTGATGCTCCCGTCATCACCGAAGCCCCGTCGGTCAAGATGCCGGAGATCCTCTGCAGGTCGAGTCCGGTTGTGTCGAGGTGAATCAGCAGTGTTGAGAGCAATGATGCAGCGTCACACCTCTCGACGGTCAGATGCGCGTAGAATTCGGTGACGATGCGGCCGCTCTTGAGGAAGGTCAAGTAGACTATCATGTGCTTCCCGCGCCGCCGATCGGTGCTCTCATCCAACTGGATCCCGACGAATGGCGACGCGAGGATGTGCTTCATCTGGCGCGCACGGAGGTAGACAACCAGTGCCTCCGAGAGTTGCCGAAATCCATACCTGCAATACACAAAACACGGTGTTAGAGTGTGGTCAAGACGATACGCAAACACCATACGAACTTACTCTGACTGGTAGGTGCCCGCGGCCTTCTTGGGGATGTTCGACGTTTGAGCTGGAAGAGCAAAATCAAGAGAGAAACATACATTGCAATGGGTGCATCCTCACGGCATATCCATAAAACAATGGCAAAGAGCTGCTTCAAGCGTGCAGTCATAGTCTCAGTCTCCTCGTAATCAGTAATACTTCTCTGTGCCGCCCTCTTGGCCTCAAGCTGCAATTGATCCTCCTCTGCGCGCTTATGTTTCTTACTCTGGGCGTGTTTCCTCATCGTCTGCTTTTGAATGTCGACGCCACCCTCACCGTACTTCCCGTGAGGAGGGGCGTGGGCCTGCACAACGCCGACACCTGGACTGCCAGCTGCTCCTCGGCTACCTCACTCCACTCCAGCATCCCCAGAAGGAACACCCCCAGAACCAGGAACTCTCTCAACACCGGCACCTCCCCCTGTCCCACCGAGACAAGCCACGACAGGAACCCCAGGACTAGCACCCTCCTCAACGCTAGCACCCCCAGGGGGCACGAACTTCTACTGCTGCGGTGGCAACGGTGTCTGCTGCTGCGGTAGCTGCGACGACGGCTGTGGCTGGGGCGGCTGCATGACGGTTGCACCTGTGACTGCAATGCAACGGTGGAGAAGGAGACACTGGGGAGAGGGCAGGCGGCGAGGACTGCGCCACAGGGCCACTAGAGTTAGCAGACTTCTCAACAGAGACAACCGACGGGAGGGGGGTGACGTGAGACACTCCAGATGGAGCAAGGCGGGGAGGGGGGGGAGCAGGGGCGATCGGGGAAGGGGGAACCAGGAACAGTGTGGGAGTAACCGGGGGACCATGGTGCAGAAAGCGGCCGTAGAAGGAGATGGACTCGTCAAAGGTGACATCCCGAGAGTGAAAAAAACAATGAGACGGTGGGTGGTAGAAGTGCCAGTCAGACGAGTCGAGGGGGAAACCTAGGAAGACACAGGGAACGGTGCGGGCAGTGAGCTTGTCCGTGCCGGAGGCACGAACGTGAGCAAGGCAGCCCTAGACGTGGAACGCAGACGCGTCACCAGGAGACCGGGTCCAGAAAGGGTCGGCGAAACCTGCGGCCGCTGAGGGTGCGGCCACACGTTAAGAACGTGAGCGGCGTAGCGAACAGCGAACGGCCATAGAAAATGGGGTGCACCGGCATGGATCATGGAGGTACGAGCCACCTCCATGACCAAACCGATGCATCGCTCAGCGACCCCATTCTGCTGCGGGAAGCCCGGCAGGGTGTACGTATGGGTGATGCCTTTCGCACGACAGAAGCGACTGAGGCAGCCAGAGGCGAACTCGCCACCACGGTCGGAGTGAAGACGCAACATAGGGAGACCTCGGTGCACACGCGCAGAGACAAGCCACGGGATAAGAACGTCAGGCACGTCGGCCTTCCGCTCCAGGGGAAACACGGTGGTATAACGAGTGTGGTCGTCAACGAGGACGAGGAAGTAACGCCCACGACGTGGCCCATGGACGAGGGTAGGGCCCCAGACGTCCATGTGCAAGGTCTGCAATGGTGCAGTGGTGGGAGAGAACAAGGAGGAGTGAGGGGCACGGCGGAGCCGGCCCTCGACACAGGGCGTGCACGGGGGGGCGGGTGAGGAGGGGAGTGCGGGGAACGACTCAGGGAGACCTAAAAGAAGACCGTGTTGAGACATGTGACGAAGACGAGGGAGGGCAGGGTGACCTAGACGGTGGTGCCACAGTAGCGTTGGGTGAGTAAGCGAAAGATACGAGCAAGCCGTAGCAACCTGGGGAGACAGAGCCACCTGGGGAGACGTCCCAACCGGGGGGGACACAATGTCCAGCGTCAACAGGCCACACACCGGGTCCAGGGGGAACGTGGTGAGGGGAGCACTAGTGGTGGCCTCGGTACAGACAGAGTACCGCTCGTGACCTGGGAACGTAGTGTTGGCGCCAAGGTCCTGGAGGCAGCCGACACCAACTAGAGAATGAGGGGATGTGCAGGCCTGTAAGAGAGCCCAAAGGAACCGCCGGACAGGGAAGGGTGGTGGAGGCACGGGCGTCTACAGGGCCTGAGGAAGGGTCAGCAAGGGAAACTGCGGCGGCAGCGGCAAGCAGCGTAAGGGTAGTGTAGTCCCCAAAGAAGCACCGGTAAGTGCCGGAGTCAAGGGTGAAGGAGAGCGCGACAGTGGCGGCAGGAGCCGAAGAAGCGAGGGAGGAGCCTAGGCTAAACAAAGCAGAGGATCCTACGCCAAACACAGCAGGGGAGTGTGAGTTAGGCACACCTACGTGAGGCAATAAGGGATAGGAGGAACCAGTCACACTAGAGTCATTGATATACAGTACATACAAAGCAGAACTAATCTCGTCCATGTCCATGTAAACGATCTGAACACCACGGCAGAGCAAACTGAGCCAGTCAGGGAGGTCGGGCGACGGGCCGAAGCGGAGTCGAAACAGGTCGTCCAGGCGACTCAAACAGTGGGTGGGGGTGTGACCAATCTTACTGCACACGAGGCCGCGGCGAGGACCGGTTTGGAGCTGGTACTGGCAGCGCCCATCATTCGAACCACCACCCGACGTCACGCTGCGCACATGACGACTACGACTGCCGCTGTCACAGGATCGAATGTTTCGAGGAAAGGTTGCACTATCGATCAGTACAATGCGCTTTTATACTTCCAAAGTACATCAGGTAACCAGGTTTATCTTATCCCAAGGGAATAGTGAAGGAAGCAAAGAGCAAGGAAGAGTTGGAAGGGAAGCTCTCCTATTGGCCATAAAGTGGACCAATGGGAGAGGTTGCTTGTAGGGCAAGCAACCACAAAGTGTTGTGCTCTCCGATTGGCCACAATGTGGACCCATGAGAGAGTTTGCTTGGAAGGCAAGCAACCACAAAGTGTGGTGCTTGGTGATTGGTTGGTTCCTAGGACCAAGGACCATTTGGTTGGAATAGTGCCAACCAAATATCTAGGACCAAATCCAATCTTGACCAACCCAAATGTGGGGTTGGTCAACCCAACCAACAACCCCCCAATAATTATAATGACTACACCTCCTAATCTAGGCATGCATGCTATATAGATATATATTTTATAACACAACCCCCCAACATGCATAAGACTAGAGGGCTTGAATCAGGAGGCGGACAAGAGAACGGGGGGAGCGAGTCCAAGAAGGCGAAGGAGGGATGAGTAAGCGGCATGGGGGAGGCCTTTGGTGAAGATGTCGGCAAGATTCGCAACAGATTCAATCTTGCCCAGCTGGAGGTGGCCACCCTGCACAAGCTCGCGAATGAAGTAGTGGCGAAGCTCAATGTGCTTGGAGCGTCCGTGGAACACAGCATCCTTCGTGAGGTGGATGGTGCTGGCGTTGTCGCACCAGATGGTGGGACAGCGCTGAGGGGCACCAAGCTCCTCAAGAAGGAAGGAGAGTGTGAGAGTACGACCCCGTTACACCACTTGTCCCTTTTTCTACTTCCTTCCTATTTTCATTCCTCTTTTTATCTCTCCTCATTTGGTTTCCTATTCTCCATTTTCCATTAACCTTTGGTTTATCCTGCTATTATAATTATATCACCGACCAGGCTTGGGATATACTGGTGCGCTATATCTAGCGTAATCTTGCCGTAATCCCTTAAAGCCAATAGCCTCGCGTGGCTATACGCAGGGTGATTCTATCTTCTAGAAGGGTCTATTCCCTTGGGATAAGATAAACCTGGTTACCTGATGTACTCTGGAAGTATAAAAGCGCCTTGTACTGATTGATAGTGCAATCTTTCCTCGAGTCATTCGATCGTGTAACACTTGGTAATCAGAGCTTTTCTCACTCGGCCGTGCTCAACAAAGCAGCAGCAGCGGGAAAACCTCCCTCGAAAAACCGCCGGGGGCGACCAATTCGATGCCGATTCAGGTAAGCACCAGCTCCGCGTTTTTTTATTTATTTATTTAAAATGTCTCCCCCCCCCCCCCCCCCCCCCCTCCCCCCCCCCCCCCCCGCGCGTGTTTTGAACAGGATGGCAACCTTCGACAACGCCGATGTTACCCAGCAGCTCTTCGCGCGCATCGCAGCCCTTCAGGAGGAGATGCGAGCGGATCGCGAAGCACGGCGAAACGAGTTCGAGCGAGTAACTCGACTCGCCGGAGCGCAGCACGACTCGACAACAGCGACGACGCAACAGTTTCTCGAGGCTCTGAAACCGCGCCCACCTGAGCCGTTTGATCCGAGCGATCGAAACTCCGACGTTCGCAGATGGATCGCCGGCATGGAGATCTACTTCGCAGCCGTCGGATGGAGCTTGCCAGTCTGGGACGGACAATGCGTACGACTCGCGGCGACGCTGATGCGAGGGCCGGCACTCAAGTGGATTGGTGGCAACAGCACCTTCATCCACGGTGAAGCCACGTGGCAGCAGTTCCGCACCGACCTGCTGAAACGATTCGAGCCGATAAATTCGGGCTTCCTTGCCCGGGAAAAAATTAACCGCCATCGACAGTTCGGGAGTGTAGCGCAGTACACGCAGCAGATGGAGGAATTTTATAACCGAATTCCCGACCTGACCGAAGGGGAAAAAGTACAGTCGTACCTCGCCGGGCTGAAGACCGAAGTCAAACGACAAGTGGCAGCGTCAAACTACGCGAGCTACAGTGACGTCGTTTCGGCAGCGGAGCGCTTTGACATGGTCAACGCCGGGACACGACGGACGCACGTCGGCAGTACGCTACAGGGCAACCGCTCGGCTCACCCCACGTTCGCCGACCCGATGGAAGTCAACAGGTTCGAGGGGCGGCCACGTCCGAAAAACACCAACTACACGTGTGATTTTTGCGGGGTGCCAGGTCACGAATCTGTTGAAGAAGAACACGCCCTACAAATGGGAGCCGAAGCACCTGGAAGCCATGGAGCAGCTGAAAAAAGCACTCACGTCCGCACCAGTACTCATCTTGCCAGATCCCGAACGCGACTACGTCATCGAAGCTGACGCCAGTGACCAGGCAGTGGGAGCAGTCTTGATGCAAGACGAGGGGAATGGACTGCAACCAATCGCCTACCTAAGTAAGAAACTACATGGGGCAGAACTAAACTACCCGATACACGACAAAGAGGCCCTTGCCATCGTCATCGCCTTCAAAACGTGGAGATGTTATCTCGAAGGACGAAAAACAACCGTCTACACCGACCACTGCAGCCTGAAATATTTGAAGACACAACCCAACCTTTCCAGGCGGCAGGTCCGGTGGATCGACTTCCTCGAGACACACTTCCACTACGACATCGTGTACAAGCCCGGCCACAAAAACAAAGGAGACGCTCTCAGCCGGCCTGCACACGTTGCCGCTATTCAGATCGAAGGGATGAATCCACTACTCAAGGGACTCTTCACACACGGGTACGTCATCGACCCCGAAATTCCCTTAGCTGGGACAGTGACATCGCGTACCGGAAAGGATCAACAAATATCTGGGTACCCAAGTACCCTCCTTTGCGCCAGTTACTACTCGAAGAATAACACGACGTCCTCTACGCCGGACACTTCGGTAGCAACAACACGCTGGCCGGTATTGCAAAACACTACTACTGCGCCCACATGGCAGAGGATGTTCAGAAATTTGTCACCTCATGTGATACATGTCAGCGGATGAAGAGCAACAAGCAGAAGAAGGCGGGACTACTGCAGCCTCTTCCTGTCCCAGAACAACCATGGCAAGTGGATTTCATCACCGGGTTACCACCTACCACCAGCGGTCATGACGCAATCCTTGTCGTCATCGACAAGTTCTCCAAAATGGGACACTTCATCCCGACACACACGACAGCACGCACGGAAGAAACAGCACAACTCTTCATTCGATACATCATCTCACAGCATGGCATTCCAACCACACTTATCTCCGACCGAGACCCCAAGTTCACCAACAAGTTCTGGAAGGAACTAATGTCTCTGCTCGGGACCAAACTCGCCATGTCATCCGCTTACCATCCGCCGACAGACGGACAGACGGAGCACCTCAACCAGATTGTTGAGCAACTCCTCCGTGCAGCCTGCAAAGACGACATCTCCAAATGGGACTTGCATCTGCCCGTCCTGGAGTTTGCCTACAACAATGCCACTCACGCCGCTACTGGACAGACGCTCTTCTTTTTCTGTTACGGACGCCACCCACTCACACCACAGAAACCGACAACATCCGCTACAGTCCAACCTGCACATGATTTCATCACAACCAGGCATCAGCTTTGGGATCGGACCCACAAGCACCTCCTCGACATTCAGCAGCAACAGAAGCGCCAGGCCGATCGCCATCGCAATGACCACAACATTACCGTGGGAGACCAGGTGCTCCTTGACACCTGCAACCTTGACATCAGCCATCTCCCATCTTAACTTCGACCTCGCTTCTGCGGGCCTTTCCTCGTTGAAGCACGGGTCACTCCTGTTACCTTTCGCTTACGCCTGCCAGCTACATGGAAGATTCACAACGCCTTCCATGTCCAACTTCTGAAGCCCTATCGGGATCCGAACACGATCTTCGTCGGACGCCAACCGCCGCCGCCGCCGCCCGTCCTCGTCCAGAATGAACCCGAGTACGAGGTCGAGTCCGTGCTTGCACACCGCCATCGTCGGAATGGCACCGTGGAGCTTCTTATCCGTTGGAAGGGTTATGATCCTTCTGAGGACAGCTGGGTACCTGAGACCGACATGGGTAACGTCCGTCGTCCTCTGCATGACTACCTTGTCAAGCAGGGTGTTATTTCTACCACCCAACTTTGAGGGAGGGAAGTGTGAGAGTACGACCCCGTTACACCACTTGTCCCTTTTTCTACTTCCTTCCTATTTTCATTCCTCTTTTTATCTCTTCTCATTGGGTTTCCTATTCTCCATTTTCCATTAACCTTTGGTTTATCCTGCTATTATAATTATATCACAGACCAGGCTTGGGATGTACTGGTGCGCTATATCTAGCGTAATCCTGCCGTAATCCCTTAAAGCCAATAGCCTCGCGTGGCTATACGCAGGGTGATTCTATCTTTTAGAAGGGTCCATTCCCTTGGGATAAGATAAACCTGGTTACCTGATGTACTCTGGAAGTATAAAAGCGCCTTGTACTGATTGATAGTGCAATCTTTCCTCGAGTCATTCGATCCTGTGACAGAGAGCGAGCGGGCCTCCTGCGGAGCCATGGTAGCGGCATACAACTCCGCTTCGCAGGAGGAGAGGGCAATGGAGGAGGAGCGGGTGGAGCACCAGCTGATGAGGCCGCTGCCAAGAGAGAAGCCATAGCCCTGAGAGGAGCGGCGGTCAGGCCTAGAGTCAGCCTAGGAGGAATCAGAGTAGCCAGTGAGGAGGGGAGGGGAGGGGCCGCCAAGGGTAAGGACGTAGTCCTTGGTCCCCCGAAGGTAGCGGAGGACACGCTTGGCCGCTTGCCAGTGGGCGGCATCATGCTTGCCGGTTCCAACGAAGCGTGCCAAAACACTTATGGGGTATGCCAGGTCAGGGCGGGTGGAGACCATGAGAGAGCCGATGAGCACAGCGTAGGGGTGGGAGGAGGAGGAGGGGGAGGTGAGGGGAGTGAGGTGGTGCCCAACAAGAAGAGGGGTGCCTCGAGCCATGTCGAACCGCTCCAGGACCTGCTGCAGGTAGTGGCCCTGGGAGAGGGAGATGGTGCGAGCATCACGGACGCGGGTAATCTCCATGCCGAGATAGTGCTGCAGCTCCCCTAGATCCTTACACTTGAGCCGGCTGCCAAGCTCACGCTTGACGCGCTCGAGCTCGGCGGAGTCGGCAGTGATGAGGATCATATCATCGACATAGACGAGGATGTAGAAGGGGGAGGGGGAGGTGCGGAGGAAGAGGCTGGGGTCGGCGCGGGAGGTGCTGAAGCCAAGCTCGGCGAGGGTGGCAGCAAGCTTGGCATGCCACTCCCTTGGTGCCTGCTTGAGCCCATAGACCGGCCGACGCAGCTGCCAGACAGAGTCGGAAGGAAAGGGGAGGTGGAAGCCTGCAGGACACTCCATGTAAATGAGCTCACGCAAGACGCCCTGGAGGAATGCGTTGGAGACGTCCATGGAGTGAATCTCCATGTTGAGGCGAGCGGCAAGGTCGAGGACTGCGCGAATGGTAGCGGGCTTGGCGGTGGGAGAGAAGGTGTCGAAGAAGTCGACAGCGTAGCGCTGGGTGAAGCCCTTGGCGACGTAGCGGGCCTTGTAGACCGGCGGCTCGCCAGGAAGCTGCTTCACCCGAAACACCCACTTCCCTTTGACCACGTTCGTGGTAGAGGGAGGGTGGGGCACATCCACAAAGGAGGAGTTGGCAATAAACGCCTCCAACTCCTTAAGGATGGCCGCGAGCTAGAGGTGAGCGTCAGGGCACGCCATGGCCTCCTCGTACGTGGCGGGGACGAAGATGGTGGGGGCGGAGGAGAAGGCGAAGACTGGTGTGCCATTGAGGTCAGGGGAGATGGGTAGGAGGGCTGGATCATGCAGGTGGAGGTTGAGGAACTCCTCATGGGAGTCCTCGAGAAGGGAGGAGTGGAAAATGAATGGGAGGACTGCAGCTGCTGCTGCTGCTACTGCTGAGGATGCATCTGCTGCTGCTGCTGCTGAGGCGGCTGCTACTGCTGCATCTGCTGCCGTCGCTGCTGCTGCTGCTGCGGGTGAAGGCGAGGAAGGAGCGACGGCTGCTGCTGCTGGTGCTGCTGCGGTAGGTGGAACTGCTGCTGCATCTATTGCTGCTGCTGTTGGGACTGCTGTACTGGAGCTCGACGGCGAGGTTGGGCTAGTGTTTTGTTGTAAGACTGTCTGAAAAAGGAGGTCCATGAGAGGGGAGAGAGGAGGCAAGGTAGAGGAAGAGAGGATAACAGGAGGCGGGGCACCTAGGACTGCGTCACGTGACCTGGTGTGGGGATACCGGGTGAGGATGGAGCGGGTGGGACGCAGGGGGGGAGGGGGTCGTGGGGGAGACGGGGGAGGAGGGGAGGGGGGCGGATGGGAGGGAGCGGAGGGGGAGGAGTGGGATGGGGAGGTGGGGGGAAAAAAAGGGTCAGGGTTAAATATGTCACCAGAGGAGGGGGGAGCGCTAGGGACCGAGGCGGCGGGGAATGGAGGAGGTGGAACAGGGGGGAGGATGGGAGGGGGAGGGAGAAGAGGGGGTGGGATAGTGTCGGACCAGTTGAGGGGCCTGGGAGCAGGGGCGAGAGGGTCAGTGGGGGGAGGAGTGGAATAGTAGGGTGTGGACTCATCAAAGACTACGTCCCGACTGCGGAGGAAACGACCTGAGGGGGGGTGAAGGAAGAGGTAGTCCGGGGAGGAGGGATTATGACCAAGGAAGATGCAGGGGAGGGTACGGGAGGCGAGCTTTCCCATGGTGCGGGGATGGTTCGCAGGGTGAATGAGGACATACGCCCTGGAGCCCCACACACGGAGGGAGGAGACGTCAGGCTTGGCCGACGTCCAGAGCTCGGTGGGAGTGGTGGAGGGAAGGATAGGGTGGGGGTACAGGTTAGTAAGGAGGGTGGCGTGAAGGAGGGCATAGCCCCACAAAGAAGGGGGCAAGAGGCATGGACGAGGAGACACCGAGCAATCTTGGTGATCTCCCGAACACGGCTCTCGGGCACACCATTCTGCTGGGGGGAGTGGGGGAGGGTGTGAGTCTGGCGAATGCCATGAAGCTCACAGTAGGAGGCTACCTGCCGATTAAGGAATTCGCCACCGCCATCAGAGTGAAGGCGGCGCACATGGCGGCCAAAGTGGGTGCTCGCATGCTTGAGCCAGGCAATGATCGCAGCCGGAGCGTCACCCTTTGAGCGAAGAAGGGAGACGGACGAATATCGGCTGTGATCATCGACCATAACAACCATGTAGCGATGGCCCTGGCGGGAAGGGGAGGGGTTGGGGCCCCAGAGGTCCATGTGAACAAGATCAAGCGGCTGAGCAGCAGCGGAGGGGGAACTCCGGTGCGGCAGCTGCTTGAGCTTGCTATGGACACAGACGGAGCAGGGAGGGGCAAGGGAGGGAGGGAGGGGAGGGAGGGTGAGGGGAAGACCTCGAAGGAGACCTGAGGAGACGGTCGAGAGGAGGGTGGCAAAGTTGGGGTGACCAAGCCTGTGGTGGAGGAGGACGGTGGGATGGGAGAGGGATCGACAGGAGCAGGTTGGGTCAGGGGGGGGGGGGGAATGGTTGGGTTAGAAGGAGGGAGAGGAGGGGGAGGGATGTGAGGTGGGGGGAGGGAGCGGGAGACTGCCTGGGCAGAGGGAAGACAAGGAACTCGAAGGGTATATTGGCGAGAGCGAGGACAAAAGGAAATACGGGAGAGGAGGCGACCTACGGGATGGTATAGGAGGCAGTGATTAGTGCGACCTGGGAAGACGGTGGTGATACCGGCCTGCTGCAGGGATCGCTGGGAGAGGAGGTTAGTACAGAGGGAGGGGATGTGTAAACCAGTAACGGTACCTGAGGGGAAGAGGGGACAGGGGAGGGTAGAGGTGTGGCAACAGGGAATAGAGAAGCTGGAATCGGCACCAAGGAGGAAGGTGGGGGCTGGGAGAGGGTGAAGGGTACCAGCATCACGAAGGACGGACTCGGTGGCTCCACTGTCAAGGACAAAGTCCAGCGTGGTGGAGGGGGGAGGATTTGGGGGAGGAGGTGGGACGGAGTACTGAATCACATTCTCATTAATAGCAGCTGAATACATAGAAGGGGCGGGGGTTCCAGCCTGACTAACCATGCCAACAAAACCAGAGGAGGGGAAAGGAGTCACACTGCCTGTGGTTGAGGGCACGGGAGACGCGCCCGAGAGGTGAGCTGCGGAAGCGGCGGTGCCGGCGGTCCAAGCGGGGTAGGGCTGCTGGGGAGGAGCCATAGGAGGAGGTGCAAGGGGGAGCTGTGACTGGAGGTCAAGCTACTGCTGGAGCTGCTGCTGCAACTGGGAGAAGAGGTGCTGCTGCCCCTGCTGCTGCTGCTGCGGAAACGGTTGCGGCAGGATCTGCTGCGGAGTCTGCTGCTGCTGCTGTTGCTGAGAGACGGCCTGGTGGGCCAAGGGGGAGGAGACGGGCTGGAAAAGAGGGGAGGTACGAACCTCTTGAGGAGTGGGGCGAGGGGAGAGGGAGGACCAGGGGGGGGGGGTGCCGGGGTTGCCGCGGGCAAACAACTCATCACTGAGCGCTTTGAAGCAAGAATCAGTGGCATGAGTTGTCTGGCCGCAGCGCTGACTCCACGTGGGGCCATAGCGAGGGAGGTACTCACAAGGAGGAAAGGCGGCTGCTGCACCACGTCCTGCGCCATTGCCACCACGACCCGCACCACCACCATGACCAGCGCCACGCCCACCCCCACGCCCTCCCCTGGTGTTGCGTTGCTAAGCAACAGCAGCAGTTGAGGAGGAATGGCGCAAGAGGTCGGCCTCGGTGGTGATAATCCACTGGGCGACTTCAGCCGGGGTGATGCGCTTGTCGATCAGCTGCATGTAGGCGATCTTATGGGTGTCGAAGGCAGGAGTCAAGCCTTCAAGGAGGTGGCAGCAGAGCACTGGGTCCGGGTACGGCACGCCAAGAGCCGCTAGGCGCCGAGCGAGGTCAAGGACGCGACGCGTGAAGGCAGCTGCGCCGGTGGTAGAGTCCATGGTGAGGCTCTGGAACTCCTTGATGAGGGAGTAGAGGGTGGCGACGTCCTGCCGATCATAGAGATCGGTGAGGAGGCGCCAGAGGTGGGAGGAGGAGGTGGGAGCAAGCTCGCGCTTGAGGGTGGGAGGAATGGTGGCGAGGAGGATGACGAGCGCGCGCCGGTCAGCGACACGCCAGGCAGCAGGGTCGGTGATGTATGCGCGCTCGCGCCTGACGTACTCCGCGAGCTCCGCCTGATGCGTGTTGTAGGCGGCAGTGGCGGCGTCATGCTCGGCGCGGGAAGCCTCGAAGAGCAGCTGCTGGCGGACGTGGTCGGTGAGGCCGGCATGGTAGGTGCGGATGGCGGTCTCGGAGCTCCGAGGGTCGTTGACGTCAGGGGCGAAGGTTGGAGGATCGCCGGGGCTGACGGGAGCATCGCCAGGAGGAGGAGGTGCAGGGCCCGCGGGAGCATCCGGCTGGGCAGGCTGAAGACCGCGCTCCTCAAGATGAACAACGGCTTTCAGGGTGTAGCCATTGACCGTCACCGAGGAGAGAAGCACCGTGACGGTTTGGGCATAGGAATGCCAATTGACCGCGGTGTTGTCGGGCAGCAGCTCAAGAGCGTCGACGAGGTAAGGTCCACCGAGGAATCGGACGCCATTTAGGAGGAGGAGGGGAAGGAAGGGGGGGGGGGGGGGGGGGGGGGGGGGGGGGGGGGGGGGGGGGGGGGGGGGAGGAGGAGGAAAGGAGGAGGAAAAAGGAAAGGAGGAAGAGAAGGAAAGGAGGAGGAAAAGGAAAGGAGGAGGAAAAGGAAAGGAGAGGAAAGGGAAAGGAGGAGGAAAGGGAAAGGAGAGGAAAGGGAAAGAGGAGGAAAAGGAAGGAGGAGGAAAGGGAAAGGGAAAGGAGGAGGAAAGGGAAAGGGAGGAGGGAAAGGAGGGGAAAGGGAGGAGGAGGGAAAAGGAGGAGGAAAGGGAAAGGAGGAGGAAGGGGGAAAGGAGGAGGGAAAGGGAAAGGAGAGGAAAGGGAAAGGAGGAGGAAAGAAAGGGGGAAAAAAGGGAGGAAAGGGAAAGGAGGAGGAAAGGGAAAGGAGGAGGAGGGAAAGGAGGAGGAGGGAAAGGAGGAGGAAAGGGAAAGGAGGGAGGAAAGGGAAAGGAGGAGGAAAGGGAAAGGAGGAGGAAAGGGAAAGGAGGAGGAAAGGGAAAGGAGGAGGAAAGGGAAAGAGGAGGAAAGGGAAAAGGAGGAGGAGAAGGGAAAGGAGGAGGAAAGGGAAAGGAAGGAGGAGGAAAGGGAAAGGAGGAGAAAGGGAAAGGAGGAGGAAAGGGAAAGGGAAGGAGGAGGAAAGGAAAAGGAGGGAGGAGAAGGATAGGTGCGCGGAGCGCAGCTCTTAAGTCGCCGACGCGCTCCAAGGGAGGGATGCGGCGACGGACGGCCGCGCGCGGGTCGGCGGAAGCGACGACGGACAGCGCACACGACGGCGACGAAATCGGCGACGGCTGCGGCGGCGAGCACGTTCGCGATGAACGGATTCGTCCGGCGGGTGCACGCGAGTGCCGCGACGAACAGGCGGGTGGTGCGAGAGCGCGACGAACGGGGTGCGCGCGGTGGCAGAGGGCGCACGACGGGAGGACGCGACGACGAACCGCGCGAGGAGGAAAAGGGCGTCGAAAGACGCGAGGGGAGGTGCGCAACCGGAAGGGAGAGCGGGCGCGATAGGAGGTGCGCGACGGGAGAGAGAGTGTGCGCGATGGGAGATCGCGTCGGGAGAGGGCGCACGGACGGCGCGCGAAATAGCCTAAGAAAGGCTAGGCTTCGATGGCGAGGAGGGACGGCATAGGGCCGTGCTAGTTAGGATCGACTAGAGGTGGCGTGAGCCATTGTGGCTCTGAATCCCATGAAGGAAATAGCTTGGAAGAGAAAAGATTGATTGAGTAGGGAGCCAAGAGGCTCTTTTGTACAAAACAAGGAGCAAGGAAGAGTTGGAAGGGAAGCTCTCCTATTGGCCATAGAGTGGACCAATGGGAGAGATTGCTTGTAGGGCAAGCAACCACAAAGTGTGGTGCTCTCTGATTGGCCACAATGTGGACCAATGAAAGAGATTGCTTGGAAGGCAAGCAACCACAAAGTGTGGTGCTTGGTGATTGGTTGGTTCCGAGGACCAAGGACCATTTGGTTGGAATAGTGCCAACCAAATGTCTAGGACCAAATCCAATCTTGACCAACCCAAATGTTGGGTTGGTCAACCCAACCAACAACCCCCAATATTTATAATGACTACACCTCCTAATCTAGGCATGCATGTTGTATAGATATATATTTAACAACACTAGGTGCATGGATACATACATTAAGCTTCATCAGCTATTTTCAAGAGCATGTTGATTGAACCGATTGCATCAATTTTGTTAAATAAAAAGAGAAGAAAACCTGGTGACTTTTGGGTCGACTGAAAAGTCACGTCCTAAGAGAAAGAAAACCTGGTTGCGTCTTGGTAACGGAGCTCACGATTGAAGCTGCTCCAAGATCCCCTTCCATTCACCCTGTCCTGCCTTTGTGCAATCCCTCCCTCCCAGCTCTCCCAAGCTCTTGGGTTCTCAGATACCCAGCATCTGCTGCTGCACCATGCTGCTGCTGTGGAGGCGATGGGTTGGGAGAGCGAGGAGAGCATGGGGCAAGGAAGAGACGAGCTGACCTTTGATTCGACTCAAAATCACGTGCTGCTGCACCATGCAGCCGTTGTGGAGGCTGTTGGATGTGAAGGCGAGGAGAGCATGGGGCACAGAAGAGACGAGGCACTGGAGGGTGCAAGCAAGAGGAGAGGTTGGGATTGGAGAAGGAGGAGACGGTGGGATGGGAGAACGAGGCGAGGGTGGGGAGGCTGGCAGAGGATGGAGCACGTGCTGATGCTGTTGCTGATGGCAGCACCTCATGGCAGCCCCCTCACAGACTTCTCCCAGCCAAGCCATAGCACCGCTAGCAGCAGGCCCAGCAGCAGCTGAAGCAGCACAAGCAGCACCGCCACAAGCAGCACCACAAGCAGTACCGCCACCACCTGTAGGAGTTGCAAGAACTGCAAAAGCAGCAGCAGCAGCGCCTGGAGGCACATGGCACAGGCAAGCAGAGGCAGCAGAGGCAGCAGAGGCAGCAGAGGCAGCAGAGGCAGCAGAGGCAGCAGAGGCAGCAGAGGCGGCAGAGGCAGCAGAGGCAGTGCGGCATAGAGGGGAGGTGTGGGGGGGAAACACGCAGTGGGAGACAGGGGTTGAGGTTTGGAAGGGTTCTAGGGGAGGAGAGGGGGTAGGAGCAGGTGACACACATTCAACCGTCCAGCAACAGTTTGGCTCTACTCAGCAGCGGTTTGGCTCTGGTGCGGAGCAGCCGCATTCCTCTCAGCGTTCCCACTCTGCCACCTCTTCCCAAACTGCTCTGTCTGCTCCTACTCTCGGCTCTCCTTCTGCTCCTTCTGCTCCTTCTGCTCCTTCTGCCCCACATGCTTCTTTCGCTGCGATGCGTTCGGAGAGGCAGCAACGTGCCATGCGAGCAGCTGCCGCTCTTGCCCGCGCCGCCACACAAACCTCCGCCGCACCCGCCACCACCACCACCTCTACCTCCGCTGCTGCTGCTGCGTCCTCTCGCCTCTCAGTCCCTCCGTCCACACCTCCTCCCTCCACTGCCCCTCCTCCCTCTGCTGCTCCTCCCCCTCCCCCTACCCCTCCCAGTCTTCCCGAGTCCGACCCACAAGCACCACCCCCTCCCTCCTGGCCCTCTGACAGCCACAGCCCTTGGTCTTGGAATCGAGCCACAACCGTTCGGCAAGAAGCAGCTCGAGTTACCGTTGTTAGGCAGGATGTGGGGCAAGTGTCAGTGCAACGGGTCGAGCGGTTTTTTTTAGGCGATAGGGTAGGGAGTCAAGAGTTGGGCCAAGGGATAGAGGCAGTGAGCACAGAATCCCTCGAACTCTATACTGGTCTTTCCGAAGCTGATGCTTCCCCGCATCCTGCCGTGGCTGCCCTGCTGGCTCGGTGGCGTCAGCCCTATCTTGGCTCGGTCTGCTTTGAGAACCGGCCGGAGCTGAAGCTGCCGAGCCTGGGTGAGGCTCGGGAAGCAGGCACGGGAGCTGTGGATCTGGTGGGGGAAGCAGAGGGGGGGAAGATGGGAGGTGAAGGTGGAGGGGTGAGAGGTGTGAGGGAGCTTGGGGCGGTTGACGTGGAGGATGATGATTGGGTAGAGGGAGGGGAGGATGAGGAGGAAGAGGAGGAAGAAGGGGATGTAGAAAGTAAAGAGGAGGGGGAGGAGGAGGAAGATGAAGAGGATGAGGAGGAGGGAGTGGAATGGGTGAGAGCAATGGGAGAGGAGGAGGTGGAAGAGGTAGAAGAGGAGAGCGATGTTGAAATGCCAGTCATGGCACTGTGGGAGGCTGACAGCAGTGCACGGGCTGAGAGCAGCGCAACAGGCAGAGGGGCGTCCAGGAGGGGAAGGAGAAAGAAGACTCTTGAGGCGAATGAGGAAGCGATTGAAGCCAGTGAGTGGATGCAGGAGGGCAAGGGTGAGGTGAATGAGACTGGTGGGTGGATGGGGGAGGCAGGCCGAGATGTGGGGGGAGCGATGAGAGCGCAGGTATTGTCAGTGGGGCGATGGAGACTGGGGGTAGCAGCAGGGCGCGAGGAGCGAGGGGGAGGAGGAAGGCAGCGGATGTAAGCACTGAAATGGGGGTGACTTAGCTGCTGTCGGGGAAATGGGGGCAAATCGGTGTACAGAAGCCAGAGTACTAGGCACCGTGGCTGGTGGTGCTGCAGACACGTATCTGGACTCGCGTGCAGGTGATGCAGCGGAGCAGGTGGGGTGGCTGGAGACGCCGTTGCTGGGCCTGGCGAAGCGCAGCGGGGGCGTGCTGACTCACGGGCAGGCGAGGAAGCTGCAGGAGGGTGGGCTGTGGACGGTGCGCCACCTGCTGGAGCACTACCCGCACACTTACCTGGACCTGTCGCGGAGCAAGGAGGATGTGATAAGAGACATGCAGGTGGCTGCTGTTGGCGTGGTTGAAAGTGTCAAGTGAGTGGCTGTTTGGGTATGTTACTGTGAATCTGTTGCTGTCAACGTGTTGTATGTATGGCACTACTGGCACCTGCTGGAGCACTACCCACACACTTACCTGGACCTGTCGCGCAGCAAGGAGGATGTGATGAGAGACAAGCACGTGGCTGCTGTTGGCGTGGTGGAGAGCATCACGTGAGTGGTTGGTTGGGCAGGGATTGAGTGAGTGTGTGGTTTGCTTGTTGCATGGCACTGCTTGCACGTGAGGCCCCTGCTGAATCGCTACCTGCACACGTACCTGGATCGGTCGAAGAGCAAGGAGGGTGAAATGAGGGATGGGCAGGGGCTGCTGTTGGCGTGGTGACAGAGTCTGGTGCTGGCGGGTGCTGGCCGGTGCTGGCTGGTGCTGGCGGGTGGTTGGGGGTGCTTGGGGGTGCTTGGGGGTGCTTGGGGGTGCTTGGGGGTGCTTGGGGGTGCTGAAGGGTGCTGAAGGGTGCTGGCGGGTGCTGGTGGGTGAGTGGGAGGCTGGCAGTGGTGATGATGTGAGTGTGTAATTAGTGTGTCATGTGTGTCATCTAGTGTCTCTTTCTCTGTCCCCCTCGCCTCTATGTCCCTCTGCAGTGTGTACCGCGGTGCCTCCGTCGCTATAGCCGACATCAGGATCCGCTGCAACCTTCCAACAATGCCGAAACTCCAGCCACCACCACACCCACCCGCAGCAGATTGAGCAGCAGCAGCAGCAGCAGCGGTGGCAGCGGCAGCAGCGGTGGCAGTAAGGGGTTTGTGGTGTCAGCCAAGCAGTTTCGCCCGGGCCAATGGGGTTCCTATGCTCTCTCCAAGGCCTTCACAAAGGGTGCTCTCGTCTCCGTCGCTGGTCAGGTGGGTGGTGGGCGGTGGGCGGCGGGCGGCGGGCGGCGGGCAGTGGGTGGGCATGACGCAATCAAGAAGCTGGTTAAGCATTTGTTGAGAAGCTGCTCCCCCTCTTGCTTATATTCCCCATGCCCACTCTTCGCCCGTTCCCCTCTCCTCCCCTCTCCTCTCCTCCCTTATCCCCCCTTCCTTGCTTCCCTTTACCACTCACCTCTCCTCTCCTTTCCGTCCCCTCGTCTCTCCACCTCCTAGGTGCACCGTGCTCAACGAGATGGGGTCATAGAGCTGGGCAGGAACAGCGACATAGATGTAGAATATGCCTCTGTGAAGCAGACCTTCTCTGCGTCAACTCAGAGGCAGGCCTTCCCTGACTTCCCCCGTATCCCCTCCCTCTAGGTGCTCTGCATTCAGCGTGATGGGGCCATAGAGCTGGACAAGAACAGCCAGATGTAAAGGTGGACGCAGAGCCAGGCTTGATTCCTGACGCACCTCAATAGCCCCAGGCCCCCGCTCGCTTCTCCCTCCCTAGGTGCTCTGTGTGCAACGAGATGGAGCCTTTGAGCTGGACAAGAACAGCCAGATAGTGAAGGTGGACGCAGGGCCCGGTGCGGAAGCCATGTGGGCGAGCGATGGCGCTGTGCCCGTTTACTCGGCCAAGAAGGAGATGGATCCTCTCGCCCTGCGCGCCATCATTGAGAGGTGCGTGCCTTGCTGTGCGTGGGCAGATGTGCACCCCATGTTGCTGTGCCCATCTACTCAGTTAAGAAAGACATGTGCTGTGATGCCGCTACTGTGAGTGTAGCATGCGCATTGCATGCATGTAGCATGCGCATTGCACACTTGTAGCATGCGCATTGCATGCATGTAGCATGCGCATTGCACGCATGTAGCATGCGCATTGCACGCATGTAGCATGCGCATAGCATACATACAGACTGCTTGCAACGATATATGATGCATGTGCATGGGGAAACGCCCGCTCTCCAACCCCTTCCCCGTCCCCCACACAGGTTAATCAAGCGTGAGGAGTCTATTTTTGAGGTGCCTCAAAAATAGACTCTCCAACCCCTTCCCCGTTCCCCCCACACAGGTTAATCAAGCACATCCCTCCAGCGATGGACTATCTCCCCCTCCTCCCCTTTCTCGCTACAACCTCGTCCCTCTCCCTCTCGCCCTCGCCACCATCCACTGCCCGCCGACCGCACGCTCCTCCCCGCCGCCGGCGCCGCCTCGTGTTTGACGAATTCTTCTTCCTGCAGCTGCGCATCCTGCTGCTGCGCCGCCGAATCCAGCTCTGCCACCTGGCAGCCGCATCCGCCGCCGTAGGATCCGCTGAGTGGAATCGGACGGTGCTGAGCGCGGAACACTGGGCTCCCTCACGCAAGAAATGCTCGCCTCGCTGCCGTACAGGCTCACAGCTGGGCAGATGCAGGCTGCCCGGGAGATAATTTCTGACATGAACCGGCCCGTGCCCATGGCTCGGCTCCTACAGGGCGATGTGGGGTGTGGCAAGACGGTGGTGGCCCTTTTAGCATGCATGGAGGCGGTGGCGCAGGGCTACCAGGTGGCAGTCATGGCTCCCACGCAGTTCCTCGCCCAGCAGCACTACGCGCGCTTTGAGCAACTACTCGAGGCGCTGCCCTGCTCGCCGACCGACTGTTTGTTTGTTGACCGCGACGGTGAAACGGGCCAAGGCCGTGCGGCTGGTGAGTGAAGGGGGCCGACTTAATCTCTTGTTCATGGTGTAAGATCTAGGGGGTGTTAGGTTTCGTAGATTTGGGCTGACAGTCTGAGGATTAGGTTTCAGGGCTTGGGGTTGAAGGGTTTGGGGTTTGGGTTTGGCGTTTCAGGGTTTGGGTCAGGGGTTTGGGGTTGAAAACGGCTGCTCGTTCTACCAAGCCCACCTCTTTCCACCATTTCATGCTGGTCTCTCCGTCATTCCCTCCAGGCCATCAAGGAAGGGCGGACTCTATCGTCATCGGCACGCACGCCCTCATTCCCACCGCCACGCCTTTTCCACCGCCTGAGTCCAAACCAAGTCTCTTTGTACTATCCCCATTGCCTTGTCCCTCCAGGCCATCAAGGAAGGGCGGGCTCTATCATCATCATAGCATCGGCACGCTGCACGTGCTCATTGCCCACGCATGCACGTGCTCATTGCCCACGCCTGCACGTGCTCTCCTCTCCTCGGCCTCAGTTGCTTGGTGCACTTTCCCCGCCGTTGCCCCCTGCACTTGCCCTGCTCGCAACAACCCCCCAGGCCATCAAGGAAGGGCGGACCTCTATCGTCATTGACACACATGCACTGATTGCCAAGGGCCAAGGCCACGTCCTTTTCCACCACCTAGGTCTAAGTCTCCTTGTACTACCCTCATCTCCTTGACCATGCCAGGCCATCAAGGAGGGTCGAACCTCTATCGTGATCGGCACGCACGCGCTCATCGCCAAGGCCACTTCTTTCCACCGCCTGGGGCTGGCAATAGTGGACGAGCAGCACCGGTTCGGAGTCAACCAGCGGGCCAGGCTGCAGGAGAAGGTGAGAAGGCATGAGGAGGTGAGGTAGACCTCCTAGGAGAGAGTTGCATGAGACTGAGAGTAGTCTGCGCAAGCAATGGTTGATGCACCCCTGCCCCAACAGCCACAACAGCACCTCCTTCCATCGCCTGGGCCTGGCCATGGTGGACGAGCAGCACCGCTTCAGAGTCAACCAGCGGGAGACTGCAGGAGAAGGTGAGAAGGCACCAGGTAAAGCACAGGAGGATTGACGGTGTTTGAAGCCAGGAGGTGGGCTGGTCCAGCGTCTCACGAGTCACATCTAACCACCGCATGGGGCTGGCCATTGTGGTCGATGGACGAGCAGCATAGGTTCGGAGTCAACCAGTGGGCCAGACTGCAGGAGAAGGTGAGAGGAATGAGAAGGTGAGAGTAACTGGGGCATGCACGGGCCGATGGATGGAGTTTCAAGGCAGGAGGTGGGTTGTTCCAGCGCCTCACGAGCCGCTTCTTTCCACGCCTGGGGCTGGCCATCGCGGATTAACCAGAATGCACGTCTGCGCGAGAGGGGGAACGTGCACGAGAAGGAAGCGGCGCGACACGGAATCAGCTGCTGAATCCGGGAGTGAATTTTCCTCCTCCTCCTCTTCGTCGTCCTCCTCCCCCCTCCCTCTTCTCTCGGAG